CCCGTTTGGGCAAGATTGGCTGGGGCAGGGATACGATTCCCGATCGACACGGCAACTGGCTGCTGACCGACCGTGCTCTCTCTCCGACTGTACAGAGAAGTACTTACCTACAGTATGAATCATGCAGTTCTGAACAGACCTCTCCGATTGATGGGTCGATTACTTCTCTGATGATTTTCGATGGTCTCTCCGTCTACGGGTTATCCTGATTGGTATCTTGCTTTACTGGGTTAACCCCCGTTCCCCGTCACCTCACCTCACCTTACCCTACTTCAGTCCCCGTTCGTAGTTCCAACCAAACACCCACAGAACCAAGTAAGCCGACCGATCGGTGACCGCCGGCAAGTCCCCGCGTTGCATTTAACCGGTTGTCCCGTGGCCGCTGAGTCGGGCCAACCGGCGATGCTGATTGGTCTCCACCGCCACCCGAGGCAGAACAAGCGAACCGACCCCGCAATTACCCTCCGGACTCTTGCTTTTCTGGCCAGAGTTCACACCATCTTCCATTCCATTTTCTCTTCTCTCTTCTCGTTCCAGCAAGTCAGCCAAAATACCCATGACTAAACACTTCTTGGCGGTGCAACGGGTGAGTCGGACATCCCCGGAGCATTCTCCGACACTCTCACGGCACGAAAACCATCACCGACTTGTTCATCTCTGATGATGATGATCATCATCATCATCCTGATCAGACCGTGAGAGCTACCCTCATCCCTGCTTTACTATATCGAGTAAATTCACCCGCTGTCATCTCCAACTTTCGCATGCGCCTCGTCGGGGTTTCCCATGGGGTAAGGATGAGCTGAGCCTGTCAGCGTCTGCATCTCCTGCAGTGTTGTTGCGACCCCGAGTGTCGATCCTGTCACATTGGGGAGTCCGTGACAATTGTCACATGGACTATCGGGATGTTGGGTAGTATATATTCACCAAACGGGCCGCCGACCCGAGGAACAACAATGCTACTTCACCTCAGGTCCAGGGTCGTAGTAACTACGGGATTCACCCAGGGTGGAGGGACAAGCAACAAAGTCCTGTTCTCCCCCACGGACTTGTACCGAGCAACGATGTCATCCATGTGACCCCATGACATCTCGAAACCCTCCAGCGTGCCTTAGTTCGGCGACCCTAAGCCTCTGTGCCCAGCCAAACAAGACCCAAAAGCCAAAATGACCACCACGCGAAAGAAGCCGATCCACCGCGCCAAGGACAAGCCAACTCCCGTTGTAGTAATGGCGTCAATCCTACAGGTGGCCCTGTCAGCCCTCCCATTCGCTCATCCGGCGCCACTTATTTCCTTCCCGTCTCAGGATGCCACGCGCTGGCTTGACGCCCGGCTGGGGCTAGTTACGGAGTAGAGAAATAAAATAATCACACTAAAAGAAAAAATTGCCCGAGTCACCTCCGGCCCCGGGGTGGAGTGGGCTGGGCATAAGTCTTTTCCGGGGTTGCTACCAATTGCCTTTTTACCCTTTAGCCATCCCAACCCATCATCTGGCGCGGAGGCGGAGAATTATCCGCCGGACGGCCAGACACTGCTACCGCTGCCAATATTACTTTATTAGTGATAGTAAGTAGTATTAGTACCGGCGAAGTGATAATAATTTCCACCATTCCGATCGTGTTGGTAAGCAGCAGCAGCAGCAGCTACGATAACTAATGGAGATCCCGTTTTCGTCGCTTGCTTGACCTTATCGTCTTAAACTCAAACTTACTTTTTCCCATCGGGAAACTCACCAACGCCAGCCAGCCATGTGGAGTAAAAGAAGAAAAAACCAAAGTACCTTTCTTCTCTTTCCCCGGGGTTCAAGTCCTGGTTCCCAACTTCGCACGTGAACCGATACGAACCCTAATCGGGAGGTGTGTGGAGGAGTGAAAAAAAGGCATCGCCACCCATCCAATTCAAAGCAGGCGATTATCTGGCCTCGTCGGCTGTGAGGCAGTGAACGTCGGCAAAAGATACGTATCGCCATTCAGCCATAGACGACTCACCAAGCCACAACCCAGGTCGTGGAAATGATCTTACTCGGATTTCAGTCAACTGCGTTCATCCCATTTACGAATAAACAAACAAACAAGCACATCATACACATAACATAAACATAAACATAAACATAACTATTGATCCATCGAAATCATCGGAACTCCCGGATGACAGAACACAATCCCAACCCACTCACCCCCAGCTGTCAGAGATCCATACCCTCCCCCCCCGCCAGCCCGAAGTCCTCCAGAGTGATCTCCCGAGGTTATCATGGGCGAGCCCGTTTTCTAGCTCCGTCGGGAAAATAGGAGGGAGCTTACTGCGTAGGCACCAGCTGAGCTGTCGTGTCGTGTCGTCTTCGCCGATGTGAGATTATCGGGCTAGACTTACATCAGCTGGGAGCTTGAGCTTTCGCTCACTTACGGTCGAGGCCCCGGGTTTAGTCTGGTCTGGCCGGGTAGCATCGATCTCATCTCATCGGGTTATCTCCAATATTAGCAGGGAGGTAGACCACGCGGCCCTGTCTCGGGATGTAATGTGTACATGGAAGGAGTGGTTCTACGGTAAAGGACAGATGTTATCGTAGATGGTATTCTGAACTACCGATCAGATCTCGATACTGTGTGAGAGAGAGCATGTCATCTGCATATGTATAGCCGAGATGAGCATCCTCCCCCGCCGGAGATAGAAACCCCGAGGGAAGGATGAAGACACCCCGAAGAATTAGGTATTCGGGAAGTCAACGAGGGAACGGTTGTCACATCTACCTGCTTAGTCTTATAGTGTCGGTAGATATGTAGAAAGTCTAGTCTTCTACTGAAATCTTCCCAGCAGGACACATAGGTAGAGAAATCGGACTCCGTATCTGCCCGGGATATGAGTCCCGGAATCATTGTGTTTTCCGAGGGTAGTCGGCCTTATGGATGGGGAGTTGATCTCTCCACATCTTCCGAAATTGTAGCTTTTCGTATGGTATAATGCAGTCTAGGACTATCGTAGCTAATGAACCATGTAGGTTCACGCTCCTTGATCTGAATATTTGATTCTTTTAGCTACTTTAATAATCTACTTATTCTCCTTGTTCTACTGTTAATGAAGAGGATGTCTGAGGAAGATACATCCGCCGCACGTAAGCAGTTGCCAATATAGATGGTTGTCGATGTGCATACAACCTTCTATATCTTGTGAGAGTTCCTTTCAGAATTGACTTAGTAGAGTATTATCATCCTTCTAATGATGAAAATGGACAATTCTCCGCCTTATTCGAAACAGGATGTTACCATCCCGATGTGCGGATATAGCGGAAATATACCTAATTTGGTAAGCGGGCCGGTTTCTAAAACTGCAGTTGTAGCTTTTCACCTCCATGTCCGGTTTTATCATCGATAATGGAGTCGCTGAGTAGGTCTTACGAGAAATGAATGCTAATTATCGAATACTGATAGCCAGAAGCAATTAGTTTTTCATGTTTCCCTCTTGGAGAATAGAAGTTTGGTACCGTTGAATCTTGTGCTGAAGGACAGTTATAGCAACGTTATTAGTATTTGAGCCACTAACAACTATATAGCTGGAATGATACACCAATAGAAGCTATGAGTTGAAAGCTTAGCTCAATAGTGTATTTAGTCACAATCTATAAATGTCACATACATTTCTATGTATATTGAACGCATGATCCGTCCATAGTTACTACCTATCTTGTAGAACTATCATCCGGGAACGGAACAAACATCGATTTGGTCGCAAGGTACACGCCGTACGCATTTTATTTTGCAAGGCTATGAAATAATTAAATGTTATACGTCGTCATGCTTTCATCTTGTGCCATAATGCACCTAAATCAGCTTCCACTCCCTCGTTCAGCCTCACCGTCCCTCGCCGTCCGTACCATATCAATTCAGATCTAACCACCCCTAAATAGAAGAACTTGCCAAAGAAGCACCCCCCTCATACTCAACCGCCCTCCCCTCCCTAATCCACACCATCTCCCCCTCACTCCCAAACGGCGGCGGCACCAACGCATTAATCTTCCACAGCCGTCTATCCGTCTCATCAACATGATACTCGAAATCGTACCCCTTATCCAGAAGATGGGGTTTCATAACGCTATCCAAACGACTCGTTGTGCGTGCATACGCAGCATCTGAATCCGGCACATGCAGCGCAATATGCGTGATGACTATCCGGACAAAGGGTTTATCGTCGCTGGGGTGTTTGGGTGTGCCTCCGACGTAGACATCGTCGGGTTGTGTCTGGATGAATTTGACGACCACATAAAAGGCGGGGAGACCGAGATCGGTGTAGAATTTGGTGATGTCTTGTGCGAAGGAGTGCTTGGATGATGGGGAGGTGAATGTGGTTGGTGGGTGGTAGATTTGCCAGAGGGGCATTTTGAGATATTATTTTTGGTTGGGATTGGGTGTGATGGTAGACGGCTAGTTATTGTCTACGAAGCTGATGCTGGGGTCTGAGTGTATAGATATATCTTGCTTAATGATGCCAAAGCTGAGCGTTGAGTGATATTATAAGACTCGTATAATGTTGCCCCATGATTACTGATCAGAATATGATTAGTGATCGGGCCGATAACAAGGGTAAAGATATCGGTCAAGTTTAAAATTTCAGATCGTTGGGAATATAGATAAAGTTGCATGGAACGATCTAGATGGATGATAGGTGACAGCGATATAGCAGAAGGTAAGGGTCCCTGGTACAACTCTGATGGATTTGTCACCCGCTCTTCGGAGTGCTGCGCCATGCCGAAGCTTACTTCCGCAAAAGGCATCCGTGACTCGGGCTATACGAACGCCTCAAGATTTATAAGATTAGTGAACCATCCGGTTGCAGTCAGTTATATGTTTACACGTCTGTCGTCATCGCTGCTTATGGAGTTACAAAGCATGTGCTGGAATGCTCTTTGTTTACCGTTACCACTTGCGAGGGATATATTAGGAGCTGGACTCTGATAGTAGAAGATGGCCGCTAATTCAGAGAATCACGATCTACTGCAATACTCGAAATGACTACACCTCTTATATTCGTGACCGGTGCAACCGGCTTCATCGGTTCGCAGGTCGTCGCTACTACACTCAAAGCCGGCTACCGCGTGCGCCTGAGTATCCGTAGAGCAGAGCAGGAAGCCACCTTCAGAGAGCTCCACCCCGGCTATGGTGACAAGATTGAAACATGTATCATACCTGACATATCTCAGCGGGAATCATTCAAGGATGCCTTTCAAGGTGTAGATTATGTTTTCCACCTTGCCTCTCCGATCCCCGGCGGAGGAAACGACTTCAAGCAGGACTACGTCGAGCCGGCCGTCAGAGGCACTGAGGCGATTCTTTATGCTGCTTTGGAGTTTCCTCAGATTAAGAAAGTTATTGTCATGTCTTCTGTGCTTGCGCTGGCTCCTGTGACTGCGTTATTTACCAAGGATATCTCGATAAAGGGTGAGTACCATAAGAAATACCTTACTTGAATGATAACTAACGCATAGCAGACAACACCGGAGAGATTATCCCCGTCGACATGAACATGTCTTTCCCGGAAGATTCTCACGGCCACGCACTCAAATACGCTGCATCGAAGATCCTTGCGCACCAAGCGACACGGTCATTTTTGGAGAACAACAGTCCTCATTATAACCTGATTACACTCCACCCGACATTCGTCCTGGGACCTAGTATGGTTCAAAAGATCCCGGGCGAGCTTAGTGGCATGAACGCGCTCTTCTGGTTGTCGATTATTTCAGGCCAAACTCAAATCGCCAATGCCTGGGTGCATGTTCACGATGTCGCGGATGCACACATCAAAGCGCTGGAGAAAGATGTCCAGAGTGGAACAGAGTTCATCTTATCCAGACCGTCTGTGTCCTGGGAGCATGCGGCGAATTTCATTAAAGAAAAGTATCCAGATGTGGAGTGTAAGCTGGAACCGCCTTTCGAGGGGCATTGGGCGCTGGATACCACTGCTGCTGATCGCATACTGGGTATGAAGTGGAGGTCGGAGGAACAAATCATTAAAGATGTTATTGAGCAGCAGTTGGAGTTGAGGGAGAACGCTCGTAATTAGGCAAATGGCGTGGAAATCTTCTTTTCATGATGTTGTGTGGGTGTTCCTTTGGAAGCTGAGGATGAACATGAGGGTAAGGTAAGTTTCATGGCTGATAGCAATGCTGTAACTAATTCTGTGATTAATATGGATTCTTCTGGACCTGAGAAGTATCATCAGACTATCACAAGTTGCTTGACAAAGACTGTCAAGGTAGATAGAAGAATGCCGGATTCATGCCACGTCAGCACACATGAGGGGCTGCTCCCCCAACGAGCTGAGCACTAGTACAGTTCAAAGCTACCTGAGTTAGAGCTGTAGTACCGCTAGCTTCATATTTGCTTTTTTCCAGCCCACAGTGCACGATCGTCCTAATAATAACCGCCGACCTCAGATTTAACTTCCTCACATCTCTGCCGCCGTGACCATAAGCACTCTCAAGAGCACAAAGAACCTTCCCACTTCTATTACTGGAGTTCTTACAAACTGAGCTTCCAATACCACAAACTGGATCCAAACCAACGACAAATCCGACTGCTCTCTATTCATCCCTCAAGAAACAAAAGGAATCCGATCCAGTGTTCCCTCCATGCCGTGTCACTCAATGATTCTCCCAAGTTCGAAGCCCTTTCATATGTTTGGGGAACGCAAGATGCCACCGAGCAGATAGTTCTCGATGGTAAGGAGTTCTATGTAAAGCCCAACGTCGCCAACGCTCTTTACGAACTTCGACGTACATTCAGGCGTCGGGATATATGGGTCGATGCTATTTGCATCAACCAGTGCGACATTGACGAAAAGAATACCCAAGTACCCTTGATGGCCACGATTTACACCTCAGCGGCTCGCGTAGTCGCCATGCTGGGAGATGCCACCCCGGAGATAGAGCTGGCGGTAGCATGGACAGAAAGATACATAGAGAAGAGATTGACCAAACGGGCCTTACACTGGTGGCGGCTCGATGTAGCGAGAGCCTTTTCTGATAAGGCTAGAGTAAACAGGGTCCATGCGGAATGCGATACCTTACAAGGCATGATCCAGATCATGACTAGGCCTTACTGGTTTCGAATGTGGACATACCAAGAATATCTGCTGCCCATGAATACGCCACTTGCTGTCTGCGGAAGTCTGACGTTCAAAGTGTCGACAATGCTAGCAGATCCTGCCAAAGACTCGATAATGAAGCGCATGGACCCCAGAATATCGTGCGATGATAACATACCGTCAGACGAGGTGACAAGTTTGAAGTGGGTGTGGGATGCGGCCAGCGAAGCATTCAGCGAAATCTGCACCTACGAAGAAGTCTCCTCCCCTAGACAAAATAGGGGGTTCGAAAAGAAGGAAACCCCGGGGCATCATTTCAGGAAAACATATCATCGGAAATGTCAGAATCCAAAGGACAGAATTTACGCCCTTTATGGTGTCATCCCGGACCTCCAGAGGGCTTTCCCTCCAGATTATAATAAAACATATGAGCAAATTGCGCTGGAAACGACGATTTGGATGATCAGTCAGGAGGACTGCCTGCTTTTCACATTAGTTCCTTTTGCTGCACACAATGCATGGAATACTCAACTCCCTTCCTGGGTGCCTGATTATCGCCAAGGCCCCGCACAATTCATAACGTCTTACCGGAAAGTCCCTCTAATAGATGCAGTGCAAGAGCTTCGCGGGTATACAAAACTTGGGACATCTCTTAATGGGTCAGACCATATGGCAGTCAAAGTATCTGACAATGGTTCAATTTTACACCTCCGTGCTCAGCGATTCGGTAAATGCAAGGCCGTGCTGCAATTTTCAACGGATCCACGCACGGTTGCAAGTCAGCTTATTTGGGTCTTTTAAGAATCTAGAGCAGTGGTGGAGCCATCTCTGTGATAGACTTCTCATGCAAGACCACCTTATCAGCACATGGCTCGCTTTTCAAGTTACTTCGCAACACCAAGACGTCGATACGATACGGTCTTTTCTATGGAAAATAGCGAAGTTGGGTCCATCGGTTACCGAGGGGGAGGTGTGGGAGAGGGAAGGTGCCACGAAGTCTTATATTGAACATGTCCAAAATCTTGGAGGTCACAGGCTCTTTTTGGCGTATAATTCCAATCTCTACTTATTTGGAATCACCCCAGGAGCAGTGGAAGATGAGGACATTTTCACTATTCCACTCCAGTTGAACCGCCCACTCATACTTCGCCCTGATGACACTGTGGTCAGCAAGGGCGATGAATTGTACTATAAAGTAGTTGGCCAGGCCCTCGCGGGCCGTTCACTCCGAGAGTCCATCTCTGCTGCGCTTGAACATAAGTCTGTAGAGGAGTTTCTTGTGATTTGAGTAGAGAGTTTAAGTCTTGTATTCCAGTTTTGAACCTTTTCCCTAGCTTGTTGACCCTGCCTTAATTACTGCTGAAGTCTGACTTAATAAGAGTTGCACCTTTCATACTAGACCTCTTCCTATGGGAACGTTTAAGGACCATATAAGGGGGGAAAGGATTGGATCACGAGAAAAGAAAAAGCTTTTGAGTCTCAAGTGAGTTTTCAATTCCTAAGCGATGGCATAGTACTCGTGAGAAGTCTACACCTCCTTTAAACACACGTCCACGCCAATCAAGCGATCCTATTATGCATGGTTCAGGGCATGGCACAAGCTGGTGTATCGGTATAATCTAAATGGCTCCACTGAAATACTAAACAAGGGAGTTGCCAAAGAATAAGCCAACGACCCTGCCATATCTATGAAACGTATTAGCGCATGCAAGGAATAACTGAATTACCTTTGCACAAATCAACCGCATTGCAAACTGCTATCGACTCACCTATTATTATGCATGAGCCAGGCTTTTGTAGGACCCGCTTCGGAGAGTTCGGAAAAGCAAACAAGCCAAAGAAAGCAAAACAAGCCTCGGCTGCCGGCGGATACCCGCACCGCAATGACTTCATGGCCAAGCAGCAATTAATAATGGAGATTCTTCGGGCTAATGTTAAACATACAAAAGTCTCCGACCCATCCTTAAAATATAGGTATACGCGATGAACAACCTGAAAGTCCCCGAACTCTGATATAGTATTTATACCCCCATCTCCCCCAAACCACAACTACCGTAATTCCCGCACATAACCCTCGAATCCCTTGAATAATCGCACCCCGCATCATGGCCGAATTAACCTCACCCATCCGCATCGGTGACCTCGACCTACACCACCGAGTAGTAATGGCCCCATTAACCCGCAATCGCGCCGACGCCCAACACGTCCCGCTCCCCATATCCCGCGACTACTATGCACAGCGCGCCTCCGTCCCGGGCACACTAATCATCTCCGAGGGCACATTCATCTCCGCCCGCGCCGGCGGCATGGGCCACGTCCCCGGGATCTGGAGCGATGATCAAATCGCCCAATGGAAGACTATCACTTCCGCCGTCCACAGCCAGGGCAGCTTCATCTTCTGCCAAATCTGGGCGCTAGGCAGGGCCGCCAAGCCAGACGTCCTCCAGAAAGAAGGCGGATACCATGTAGTCTCAAGCGGAGACATCCCCATGAGCGAATCCAGTCCCACACCAACCCCATTAACAGAGGAAGAAATATCCGACTACATCGCCGACTACGTGCGCGCAGCGCAGAACGCCATTGCCGCTGGGTTCGACGGCGTCGAGATCCACGGTGCGAACGGCTACCTTCCCGACCAGTTCACACAATCCGTGAGCAACAACCGCACCGATCAATGGGGCGGTAGCGTCGAGAACCGCTCCAGGTTCGGTCTGGCTATCGCGAAAGCCGTGGCGGATGCTATTGGGCCCCAGAGAACAGGGTATCGCATTAGTCCTTGGAGTACCTTCCAGAGCATGCGGATGTCTGATCTCCGACCGCAGTTTACGCATCTTGTACGTGGCTTGGCGCAGTTGAACTTGGCTTATTTGCATGTGGTGATGCCACGAATTTCGGGGTCAACGACGGTGGAGCATGAGTCTGAAGAGGAGGATGAGTCGTTCCTGTTTGAGGAATTTGGGGATAGGGGGGCTATTATCCTCGCGGGCGGGTTTACGGCCCAGACGGCTACTGAGGCCCTTCGGGCGCATCCCGGGTATCGTGTCGCCATTGCCTTTGGGAGACATTTCTTGGCGAATCCGGACTTGCCGTTCAGATTGAAAGAGGGATTGCCGCTTAATCAGTATGATCGGCCGACGTTCTATACGCCTATGTCGCCGAAGGGGTATGTTGATTATCCGTTTAGTGAAGGGTTTAGTCCTTCTCAGGGGAAGTTGTAATAGACATATAAATGAAAGAAGATAGAAATTTCGTTCCAATTTCAACATCTCCACCATTGCCACTGCAAGATATACACAATCAAAACTTTCGCCGCAACAGCTTTCGTCAAGCCGGAATCTAGGCCCGAAGGTGGCGAGAAGCAGTCTAACCTCAGAGTTTGCGAGCACTTCTGTCGTTGCTTGCGGGTCTGCATCTATGGCAGATTCTGTTGTATCTAGGGCCTTGCCACCTGACAAGGTCGCGCAAACTTTGGCCAAGTGGGCCGATGAGGCTGATACTTGAAGGAGGCGACACCGTTGTCGCCGTTGTTATCGTAGGATATGGTAATTCCACAGTTGCTTTGTGGTAGTGTGGAAAACGACCCAAGGGGATGTATCTAACACATGTGAACCAAAAGTACATTAGGACAATATGACAGTGGGAATTAGGAACTAGATTACCGTCTATAAACGGCACATGGGGTATCTTCAAAGCCTCCCGCATTGGTGTATAGGGCGTTGGGTACTGCTCTCCTAACCCAAGAATGGTTACCACCCGACAGCGCGAGGCGTAATCTCGACCTGCCTTGCAGGTGTCATAACAAGAAGGTCTTTAGCATATGCAGCAGCGACCGCAGCGGCATAATTCTGCCAGGCCTTGTTTTTGTGTGAGTCTGCGTAGTCACAGATCCCGCGAATGACAAGACATGGGAAATTATCCATTAATCCTGCTGCCTCCATCTCGAAGCAAATGATTCCCGATTCTTGTGCAAGTCGATCTCTGGTAAGTCCATGTTTCATAACTTGGTCTCCAGACGCGATGAGTCCATAATGAACGACCGGTGTGTCGTTGGTTCGAGGTCTGCGAGGGATGCATTTACTGGGATCGCAAGCTTTGCAGGTGAGAGCAGCTTTTGGATGATCATAATCGGCTCCAAAGAGCCGGTCTTCTTCTTGGCTAGGATGCGTAAAGCCCTGCATTCGAGGATATTTCTTCGCCATATCAGCAAGATAACCGCTTAATCGGCATCCATTGACCATATACTCAGCGCTCATTCTGGCGACCATTGTCAAGAGCGCCTGCGGTGGTTTGTTCAGGGCTCCCGTTATGTGGAATTTGCCATCTGCACAGGTCTTGCCATAGTCATACTGGATTACTCCCCCAAGGGTTCCACTGGGCTTGCTGACAACGACATCGCCTAGCCGAATATCGGTGTCGCCTCCGGGTACTCCTCCCCCAATGCCCACCAACAAGCTAAATCGGATGGACTTGAATGTCGCTTGCATTTGAGACGCCACTATGGCTGCTGATATCGTACCATATACCCCACTAGGAAGGCAGGCGATAGCTATGTTATGCGCTCCAATGCTACCAAGTATGTAACTGTTCTGATCGTCCGAATGGGTCGGCAAAAGATCGTGAACGTCGTCGAGCATTGCGCTCGCTGCAGCCATCTCAAGAGGCAATGCGCAAATCCAACCGATCGTATAGTCACCATGGCTTCTCTTGGACTCTGGGCACACTTCATTCAAGCTCCCCGTCTTCCTGGGTCTCTTCCTGGGTTCTTCACGAGCCGGGCGATACGCATCTGATGATACTTTGTGGTGGGGAACTGCCTCTAGGGCACAATTATCGAAGATCATGTTTGTCATTTCATCGTTCAGCCGCTTCGCAATCTCTTCCAAGGATGTTTCCGAATTGGCAGGTGGCGACACGTGGACTGAAACACACCTGGTTGAATCGTCAACCGAGCGCCCAAACCGAAGCATTCCCCCGTAGGTCTCTTCAAGCTGTCCTTCAATGCGCACTGTGATGAAAAACGGCTCTGTATCATGAGAGACTACAAGGCCGACACGAATTTGGTCGCGATGGAGTATCGTCTGGTAGGGCGGTTTGGCCTCATTGATGATCCATTCCACCCGACGGTGCAGCCCACTCTCATCCCCATCTATTGGCCATGTATAAGCACGTAAGGACCATTTGCCATCAGGAGTATTTTTGCTTTCTTCGTCATCGGTTGATTGAAATTCAATAAAATCCTTATTTTTTCTCGATCCTTCCGTATCTCGAGAGCGGACATAGCCGGTGACACCTCTGGGGCCAAGATATTCAGTAAGAACCGGCCCAAGCTTTGATCTGCAAATGGACTGCGGTTTCTGAAAAGACAGTTCGATGTTCGCACTTTTGAGCGTGCAATCTGCAGGCTGGCTGAACTGTAGTTGAAGATAGAGCACCCAGGCGGGCTGACTGGGCTCATAGCCCAGGATCCCCCATTTCGAGTTCGGCATGAAAGAACAGTCTATTTTTATTTTCCCTAATTTTTTGAATCCCAGGCTCTGAGTATGGGTTCCATAGAGATGTCTAGAGCTCTGCTCTCGATACGGCGATGTCCCCTGAGAGAGGTATCTGGAGAAGAGGCTCCACATGGTAGTTGTTGGTCGCAATTATTCGACAAGCGACAAATATAGTTCAAAGATCGAATAGGTTTGCAGCTGTCTCTCTTTGTATGAATTAGAGAATGTACCTGGACGCCACGGATGACATTATTATGAGGGTGCAACTTGGTGGCGCCAAAGAATTCCACGTAGCCGTGAGGCTGACACAAACCCCGCGCTAAAATTCACTCAGCAACCAACCAGCATATGCCCTCAGGTAATCCTATCACATCAACTGCGGCTGACCAGTTGGACCTGATCTCACTCATTTCCTTCTCTTCTGATGTGGGACGGCATTTCAAGACACCATGTCACACCAACCACCTTCCAGAGATGAGCTCCATGAAGGAGGGACGAACTTGTCCTTCGAGTTAGAGCTAGAGGAAGATTTCGAAAGCGAGATACAGCATTTCTCTAAGCTCAGTCGAGAAAGGAACTACGCTAAAGCCCATGAGTTCTTTGACAGTGTTTTGAAAAAACATATTGGCTTTTTCCCAGTGGCTGTTGAATATGCGGATATGCTTTATGAGCAAGGATGCTATAGGCAACTATCAAAATTCCTGGAAGAGCGTATTGACGCTATACGTGACAAATGGCCAAAGGATGAGACGCAGCTTCTTCGACTGATGAACGCCTTGGCCGGTATACACTACCGAGGAAGCCTCGACACGGCTCTCGCTGAAGCGGCCGTAGCATGGAATTTCCTGGAAAGAAAACAGCAATTACGCGGGTTTCTGCAACTGGGCTTGCAAGACCTACAGAAAACTGACAACCTTCCTAGTGATGTCGATGTATGTGACACAGAACGACTTTCTTTTTCTTCTAGTAAGGGCTGACTAGAAGCCAGATATATATATTTGCGACCCACATAAGCATTATTGCATTTGCTATTCAGCGGGGCCGGAAAGTAAATGAATATCTGACAAGCTGTCCATTCTTTCCCCCAGAGCTACGAGACCTATCTGGGAGTTTCGCGTGGTATAGCAAATTGAAAGGTTTGGGCTTATTGTGGCAAGCGTCCAGAGTCTTACGAAGTCTTCTTCCTTTGCTGCCCTTCTGTCCCCAGGAGATCAGTAGGATGAATTTTGATAGTCCGGATGACTCCAAGAGACTTCCTGTGTTGAACTGGACAAGATATTCGGGCCCTGATATGTGGGCTTCAGTTGAAATATATATACTCCAGGCCGAATACTTGCTGAATGTGGCAATCCTTGCGAATGCTGCGGGAGCTGGCGACGACACAACTAAAGAGCTGTATGAAGGCGGCAGAAATCAGCTTAAAACCGCTCGAAAAATCTGGAGAGGAATCCCGCAAGTTGGGGACTCGCTGGCATCAATTCTACGGCTGTCCATGGAACAAATTTGTTACGAAACAGCGAAAGTCCTCTTATTTCCGGAACCCATTCCCAAAAGTGCTGACACGTCTTTGGCCCTCTCCAAAATCCTTTCGGTAGCAGAATCGCTGTGTGATTTCCGTACTCAGATGCGATGCCGGTTTCAGCTTCTCTTGGTCACTTTAAGGTCAACAGGAGACTGGCGTGACCTTTACAGTATGTCGAAACTGCAGGAGGGAGATTGCGGTGATCTTGTTGAATCGCTACATACTTGGAACTTGTTCGCTTCATGGACCCTCAGAGTACCAATCTCACACTTCAACCTATCAAATCTTAATCTTACAGGGGTAATGCTGAATCTGGACAGGGAGATTCTTTTCCTGTCTTTAATAAAGCCTCTGGGATGGCCAGACCAGAATTGGATAAGACTTTTGCGGTCGCACTTTTCAAAGGTGCAGTCGGTTGGCTCACTTTTGGCTTGGGATGCATCCGGTGATGGTACCAAGTTGCTTATTGACATAGCTAACTACGCTTTCTGGTCTCAAGAGAATAAGAATCAGCTTCTGTGGGATGCCAGCACTGAACGAGAAAACCGAGATCTTCTGGGTCTATCGGCTTCTATGAAATCACGAATACTCGTCTTCGTTCAGCATCATCGACGCCCGCCTTCTTTTTCCTTGCCACCCGACCTTTCGGGGCGAGTTTATGGGCCAGAGCTTACTGCTAAAGAGGACGACGAGAAGGAGACGGTGTTCAAGGGGAGTGCAACGGAAGCTCAACAACACGTTGAAGTGGCCAAGAAACAGGAGCACCACCTTCAGCGAGAGAGGATAGAAGATGAGGACGAAGAAAAGAAAGAGACTTTTAAGCACAAAATGCTCGATATCATCAGAGAATTTCCCCAAATAGCTAAAACCGCGAGACGTCCATCCTCCCCCGAAGTGCAAAATGCCTTAGCCTGCGCCAGAGCCTACGCCAGAGAGTTTGAACATGGGCCTGAATACGGGCCTGACGCTCATACGATGGCTGTACTCGAATTTTCCATGAACGGCCTATGGGAACGTATCAAGGCTGAGCCGGAATATGTGCTCAGTCCAAAGGAGTTCTCCTTGTTGAACTACTTTTTCTTACGCTATAAGAACGAGCCTGCATGTAAAAGAGCTGTGAAGCGGTTTTGGAACCACTATGGCGCAGAAAACTCTGCCACTGATGAGAGCAAGTCTTAGTGACTGCGGTGTGCGCGTCAAGTAGACGTATGAGCAAGTATTGATGGCTCCATTGGTTTAACCCACCAGCCGACGGCTACGCTATGTTGATCCCTGGTATAATAAGAGACAGAATTGATTCTGCTACGGTATCAGACGCGATGCTACATTAAGAGAAACCCAATAGCTAGAACGTCTTGTCCGTGTGTGTTCGCGCATAATCAAATAGCCTGGTATGTGAGTCAAAGCTTCCTGCATGTGTAGACATATGCGCAGGGTAGCAATTACTAGTATTGGATGGCTCGTTAGAGTGCAATATATTTTTGAACCAGCGGAACCGTAAATGGATGTATAGTCATCGGAGTTATTTTGGTTGATCGAGCGGAAAAAAGTTCAATACGCCAAAAGAGCATGCCATTTACCTGCTCCGAAGCAGGGGACCCACTATCTGATATACGATAATATATTTCAACCCGTCATTGGCCAACTAGCTCAGCCTTGGGGGTCTAGCGCAGCTCCTGGAGCTGGGTGAGATGACTCGTTTAAGGCTGTCAGACGTCCTTGGCGCCGTTAGTGAGTCATTTTCTAGCCAGTTCATAACTATCGGGGTGTAAATGAGGCTAGCTCGTCTGTTGGAACTGCTCCACAGTAGTTCGAGGCTGTATGCAGGGGCACAACTAAAAAGTTACTTAAGAAGCAATGAAGTGATTACTTTTGGGTTTGTAAAATTGATACTAAGGTCATACATAATTTTATGATTCCTTTTCGTTTTCTTTCTGGTACCTGACCGAATTTAGTATATAATATAATGGCTAGGGATGTTCAAGCGAGACTAACATACCTCCAATGGCAACCCAGTTACACCCATACACGCCCTTATAAAATTGGTGTATTTGCTGGACGAAGAAAGCGCAACATCGATCGCGACAAGACGACTAATCTAGTCTTTCATGTGGCCGATCGTCCCGAGACTATTCGAGATATTAGGGGACTGACTGAAACTCTTCCGTTCGATCTTGATACCAACGGTTTCGTCTACAAGAGATGCCTCGCACCGACTCTTACAAAGTCTTATGAGTACTCCAATCCTCAGAAGGTCAAAGATATCTTCTTGCCAGAATGCGAAGCCATTCTGAAGGAACACGTTAACGGGGCTGATGAAGTTATGATTTTTGACTGGAAAGTACGCTGCAACACAATCATCTTATGTGGCAACCGCTGAAGTCCTACTTTCGACAGATCAGGAAGAGAAAGAGCGCAAAGGAGAAAAGGACACGAAACCCTAATTTGCAGGGGTTTGCGCGACAGGTTCATATAGGTAAGCTACAGTATATCAGGCGGTGAGAGTCACAAAAATGTATGTGCTGACATGACAAGACACACTTCTAACTCGAGATGTGATTGGGACTCCTTTAATGGAGCGCATACGCAATCATCTTCCGGAAGAATCTCAGCACCTTCTTTCTGGGCGAGCCCAACTGATAATGTGAGTTCACGGGCTATCCTCCCCTCTTACAAGACCCACCCAGGCGATTAGACTATTAAGTGCAAATGTACCTGACATATAACTAGACTCTGGCGACCAATAAATGGGCCGATTGAAGATCACCCCATTGCTGTATGTGATGGACGAACTTTGGACGCATCCAAGTTTATTGAGACAGATATGATACGTGGGAACTATACCGGCACTATGCTCTATCCACAATCTGAGACAAATGATGCACGTAAATGGTATTATATGAGTGGCCAGGATGTAGAAGATGTGCTTCTGTTCAAAGGGTTCGACACGAAGGAAGATAGTGTGAAATGTGAGTGGTTAACCACCCTGATTGGCTATCTTTCAACAGTCCAAGTCCCTTTCAAACCGGTGGGTTTGGAAAGGCGTCGGGTGTACATTGGCTAACGCAACTTGCTGCAGATACTCCTCACACTTCATTCAGTCCTCTGAACACAGCGGAAAGCTCGTGTTCTAGGGTTAGCGTCGAGGTGAGGGCATTGGTGTTTTCGCGCTACTAGATAAAATCCCAACATGAGGGACAAAGAAGTGTAGGGTAGAACATAGAAGAACACAGATAAGCGAGCATACTAAACGAGATAAATGAAGTACTCAAAAGTTTAGAACTATACTACATGATCTCGAACATCGCTTGGCATCACACTCGCTTCGTATAACTATTATAGCTCATTTATCAGGATCCTGGGGGTTTAGAACTAGCTTTTTCGGGCTGCGCCCTTCCAAAACGTCGGTACAAGCCTCCTGAATGCTGTTCAACCCACCAGGTCGCTTCTCCAAGGGTGTGGGGGTCACATTTCCGCCCAGAGCCCCGGGAAGATACTCACGATACCACCATTCCGTAAAATCACCATATTTCTCCTTCTGGGTAGTCATGCTGAAGAAGTCGTAAATTAGATCCACATTTTGGGCCAGGTTTATTTCTTTACTTTGCGCACGGACAGATGCAAATCTCCCACCGTTTGGTTGCAGGATGTCGCTTATATCATTTGCACTTTTCGCGTCACCCGAAGCCGTGAAGATATAATCAAAGGGCCCGAGACTTTTTAATTTTGATACGATCTCATCGTCTTTGTAGTCGAGAACAGTGGAGGCTCCAAGGCCACGAACATAATCGAACTTTCGTGGGGAAGCCGTTGCTATGACTTCGCAGCCGACCTATAAAGCCATGTTAGCCCACCACCGAATAATACCATTGAGCTATTTGTGCTCACACTGGCAGCATATTGAACAGCATAGCCCCCCACAGATCCACTACCACTCCATATAAGTGCTTTCCCCTTGCTATTTGTTCCTGGCTTCCCCATACCCAGGTGCAAGTGCAACGCAGAAACAGCTGTTAAAAGCGCAAAAGGTATTGCGGCGGCATCCTCAAAAGTCGTGCTTGCTGGTATCTTAGCGGTGGTGGCTTCTCTAGTCACCACGTATTTCTGCCAGCCCCCGTACTTCGTTTCTTTGAGCTGGTAGGTAGGCGTGTCGGACACGACGCGGTCGCCTTTCTTAAATTTAGTGACTGACGATCCGACTTCATGAACAATGCCGGCAACTCCATTGCCCAAGATGAATGGGTAGGGCACATCGACGTATGCTTGGGCCCGGATATTGGCATCGAGGGGTTGTATGGCAACAGCATGGTTCTGTCACACTTTTTAATTACACGACTTCTCCAGTATGTTTTCAGGCACAGTGTTGGCGTACCTCGATCACAATCTCATCAAAGGATGGAACATTGTAGGCCGCGGTGAATCGCTTTAGATCACTTTTTGGCTTCAAAATCCAGGCGGCTTCGTTCAGTGGCGACATGGTGCCTTGATGATGGCAATTCGCAAGGTATAAGTTAGGGGTGGCGACAGAAACTGTCAATGTTCTCAGTATTTATTTTATCTATTTAGCTTACTACTTATAATGTTGCTCTGAGTAGCAAAGGTGCAAAATGACCTCAGAGGTCTGAGGGGAAAGAAAAGCCCCGCAGGAGCTTAATGGAGCCCAAGCTTGCAGATGACCAATGATGAGAAACATAAGCATTATTAATTTTTACGAGATCGACAATTAACCTTTTCAGTATTCGGGAATAAACTCAAAATTATATTTGTGGGCTTTCTCTTCACCTGGGATTGCGCGAAACTTTGTTCTAGAACAAATGTGCCAGAAGCATACATTTTTGAGTTTGCTTGGAAGGAGTGTTGTGGTCATCTAGACATCATCAACCAATCTTTTGCTCTCGTATTTCGCACCGACACTTCCGAGACCGGAACTGGCCGATATGTGTATATCTTCGGAAATTTTTGACAAAAGGCAATCGAATCGTCAGGCCCTTTATCATATTGTGTTATAGTGTACATGGTGTTCCTGGGCTACAGCACATGCATAAGGCAGGGTTGAAAAATGCGAAGCTCTGGACATTAGATTTAACGACGGGTAAGTTTCGCCACAAGTTACCCGTGGGTCTACTCTACATTGACAACATCCCTTTTTAAAGCTTTAAAAGAAGGAAGTGCCACTGAGCATTCGATGAGGTGGTGCAACTGTTCAGAATTCAGAAGCAACACCTAGCATGGAGCGGACTGCGGCAGACAACAGAGAGTTCGTTCTCTGTTTCGATGGAACTGGATATAAATTCCGCGGAGACGAATCAGACAGTAATGTCCTCAAGATTTACAGAGTGAGTAGTTAAATCATGAGCCACTTTTGTCAGGCTACACTCACATTAAACGAAGATGCTGAACCGCCATGACCCTCGTCAATGGCATTTTTATCAGCCGGGGTTTGGGACGCATACCACCTCGATCTGGCAAGCCAGTAAAGCCAGCACTAATCGCCTGAAGAGATGGTTTACGAATATGAAGGACTCCGCGGCAGGCACGACATTTGAAGAACATGTCATTGACGGTTATAGATTTCTCATGCGCTTTTACAGCCCCGGAGATGCTATATACATATTTGGTTTTAGCCGTGGAGCGTATGTTGCTCGCATGCTTGCGGAAATGATAGACCACGTTGGCCTGCTAGAGCCAGGAAATGAAGGGAAAGTGCGCTACGTCTGGACGACCTTCTCGAAATGGGCAAAATGTACCAACAGCATCGATACTGGCCAGACCGAAAAAGATGAGTTATATAAGTACATGAAAGCCTTACGAGAGACTTTCTGTCGTCCGGTATCGCAGATTCGCTTTCTCGGATTATTTGACACCGTCAACAGCATTCCACGGTTTGAGGTAAATCGCAATAAATTCCTGTTTCCGTTCACGGCCAAAACCTCGGCTAGGGTAATTCGGCATGCAGTTTCTATCGATGAGCATCGTGCCAAGTTTCGACAGGATCTGATTTCGGATTGCAATCCTAACAGGCCGTCGACGCGGCGCAAGAAGCAGGACCTGCCAGAACAACAGGGTCGTTGCACAGGCGAGGCGTTCTATCGACCAGCCCCCGCTAATGCGCCTTCCGAAGCTAAGGATGGTCTCCGTGACGAAAGCCAGAACATGTGTCAGGGTCAGGACATCGAGGAGGTGTGGTTCGCCGGATGCCATTCGGATATTGGTGGCGGATTAAAAATGGATGACGATGAAGTCATAGCACTGAGCCATGTGCCATTAGTGTGGATGGTACAGGAGGCGCAGCGTGCGGGGCTTCAATTCGATCGCGAAAAGATGAAGCTCTTTCATTGCCTCGATGACCCAGCTGGCTATAGAAATCTTCCGGGTCATCCGGAGTCAAGCACCGGGGTTCAAATAAATGGAGATTACGCAGGTGAGAAAGGGAACGAATTCGACTTCAAATCCGCACTCCGAAGGGCAACTACAACCGGACATGTACATGACTTCCTACATTATGGCCAAGGTGTGTCGTGGCCGACCGCTTTAACGTGGAAAGTAGTGGAGTATCTTCCGTTTCGAAGATTGGCATTGCAACCCGATGGATCTTGGAAACCCGTTCGGTGGCCTCTCCCTCTTGGGGAGAAACGTGACCTTCCAAAGGGAGCTAAAGTTCATGGCTCAGTCATTCGCCGCATGAAGGCCAATCAAGACTACAGGCCGGAAAATCTACTCAGAGACGGAAAGGGGAAGAATAAGCGACCTTTGGAGAGTGGAATCGGCGCGTGGGAGGTGCATGCCTATGAGGGCTGTCCAGTGCGAGAGACATACCGCCGAAAGTCGAGCGAAACTGTCTAGACTGGTTTCGCTTTCTATATTGCATAAGTTGCCAAATGACAAATAACACTGAGTCATGAGTTCTGCTATGGCGGCAGTGAGCCGATTGCAGGACAGGACAGACGAGGAAACAGCACAAGAATGGAAGAAGAGGGCCAGGTCCCAACACGCAGAATGTGCTTCAGATCCAGGCAGAGACTGAGTGGCTCGCATTCCAAATTCCACTGGCACAAAAGCGGATGAATGACACATCTTTCAACAAAGACCGGACCTACACTGTCACATTCCTCCTGCCCACGCGAGTAGTTGCATACTCTCACCATATCAAGGGTGCCTTCTTGAACCGGCATCTTCTTCAATGGTTCGCAAGTAGCATATAAGTCCATCAGTCCCTCGATAGTGTCCGGATCTTTTATGACGTGGTGTGTGGTTCCTTGTTATGGTCACTTGGCGCGACTGAATATTCGGAACTGTGTACTTTGAAGGAAACAAATAATGTCAAGACAGGGGCAGATGGATTTGATCTGTCTATATTTCAAGAGTTTGGCTTGGATGGTTGGAAAAGGTGGTGGAAGAAAGGGAAGAAGGAGTAGCCTACCCTGCCTTGCTGCAGTGAATGTCTCAACAGACAATCAAGTTGGACCTTGACCATGATCTGCTCCAATATATTCAGTATGCGACTCTCCTCCAGAGCTGTCATGATCTCTGATTAAAATTGGCAATATTAACTCTTACATGATAGACAATACAAATTATCAAATGTACCCACCCGACCAACTCCGTCTTCGAGGAACATAGCGTACAATTCTCTCGGCAATCTGGTCTGCTTTTGCGTCTACTACAAATCACAAGGAACTTCTTGCCCTGTAAATTGTCTAGTGGATGAAATAATAAACCGAAAAAAAAAATATATATATATATAAAACATACAAGAGCATTAGTATGGCTGTGATCACCCAAGGCCAGACGTGGGCGTCTTGCCACTCCTAGTGGCCATTCACGGCCTCCTTCAGGGACCTCAATATCTTCACCCGAAGGGCCAGAAAGCGCATTTTCGTTTATGCACAAAGGAAGGCTGCCCGTGTAATAAATAATATGAGGTCAATTCTGCTCTTATTATAAACGCTCTCCTAAGTTTTCTTCATCTTACCGGTTTGTGTCTTCAACGCGACAACTTCACAAGCAGTTCATATTATTCTTATCTGACAGGGAGATTCGGTAACCGCCATGAGCCCCCAAGGCTTTACGGCAATTAAACTCAAGAACCACAATAATTTCGAAATAAAAAGATTGATTCTTGATCATACTGAAAGAGAATATGACCAAGCTCTTCAGTACTTTGATATATACAGAGCATGTAGCCTAAATACACAACCGCTGCTAACTATACCAGGTTTATCACAAATCACACAGGTACTGTGTCGCCACCAAATATACATATCTATAAAGTCTTCATGGAATTCTTGGAAAGAAACCTTAAAGAACTGCTTAGTAAAGATAAAAATCCAGTTCTGAATACCCTTGACAGAATAAGAAAAGACCTGGATACTAGCCTTGCCTAACAGCAGAACTATCATGTCCCAGCCTATTCAAGTATAACAATTAGAGAAGTCGTATCCTTATCTTCAGCTCTCCTTTCTCGAATTAAAATTTAGTTATTAAAAGTACCCAATATCCAAATATCAAGACATGGCTTCTCTCAAAATAATCATAAAATTATCCAAAAGCATTTATGGTGCCACGACTCTTATCAATACCACAAAATATATCCAGAAAGATCTAGAGTAGAACTAAATATATTAATACTTCTCTACCGCTTTACATCAATAAGAACAGGTAAGGTATACAAATCTATAACTTATCAAAACTTAGCCCGTCAGCGTAAGATACAAAAGCAGAAAAGGATATGAATACTACTATTATAGCTGCATGCTATTGTTACGGACCCCTGCTAGTTAACCTACTAGTAAAGCGGACTCGCTAGGCAGAAGGTACTGATAAGAACAGTACTCAGGCAAAACTAAAATATTATTTAATAAAATTTCTGATAACTATAATACCTAGAATAATTATATATCATATAATTATAATATTCAAATTAGAGTGGTTATATAATGTGCTGTTAAATTAATAGGCTACTCTAGCGGGAATAAATTATCTGTCCAGCTGGTTTAACGGAAAGCGAGAGTTTGGGCTCGACGAAAAGAACATTTTCTATACGTCAAAATGCTACATTCTCTCTAATCATCTGAGTTTATTATATCCCATGAAAGTTTAAAAGCCAACAACTCAAAATAGGAGCCAAATAAGGGCTCGAAATATTCTTCCCCTTTTTGATAGCGGTGATCTTCTGAGAGTTTTCGATGAAGTTATACTTAATAGCGCCCGCAAAGCCGGGCTTCTAATCTAGTAGACATTCTGGAGATACTAGTACTACCGATATAACTTATTGTGAACAACTTGGACATAGTATTGGATATTCTATCCTTGCCTACAGTTTTCTCCTCAGCTTATACTTCCAATTATTGTTACTGGACTTATAGTTATTGTATTTGTTTCTTTGTTCCTGGCTAAATAATGTATTAATCTATTCCCTAGATGATCTTAAAACGATAGCTCCTATCTGTAATGCCAATGTTCTGACTGACATAGTAACTTATTTTGGTAGTGATCTCCGGTGTTAGATGATGATAAAAGCTCTGAGTCTACATGGCTAATTTCTGGGCTACCATTGTTTAGGCATCCACCTCCATAATGTTATGGTCAAGCTTTCATTCAGTATTGATCATAGCTCGATTGATCAATTATAATAACGATATAGAGAGTCTGAGACAATCCGTATTGTACCCGGTGATGGGAAACCTTGAATTAACCTAACGCTAGCTAGCTGCAGGCTTGAAATTTTACACGCAACCCAGACGCAGGGATCGGTCTAGATGGGGTTATAGATTAAAGGGTTATTTGTCTCTTAAAAGGCGTAGATTTTGCTTACAAGACTTTCGGTCATTTTGTGTCACCCTTAAGATTATACGAGCATATGCTCAGCAACCTATGGAAAGGACAGTGATGCACCAACTGCACAGTACATATATGACCTAAGGAAAGATACTTTCAAAAGAGGAACCTTTGATTTGTTTACTTTAAACTGTATGACCCACGAGTTATTCTATACACGTATTTTAGAATTGCTATTCTTCCCGTCAGATTCCCCATAGCTTTTTTAGATCCGCGGCACGATCGGAAGTCCTCCAACCTGTTTCATTCTCAATTCGAGTTAGTTGCTTCAGCAAGAGTATCTTCTCCGTGGCATATGCCTCTTCCATGTAAGTTCGACCCTGATGGAGGGGCATATTGCGCCTTGATATACTGAATATTGTTGAGGGATGGAAGTGTGCCTGATCACCAGACAGACCATGACAAGCCCATGACGATGATGACGATCCGCCGGCAAATACCACTCCTGCAATTGAAAGTGGTTGAAGTTGATTCACCCAGTTCGCACTATATCTATCAGTCAATGTTCCAATGCTCCCATCCTTCCAGAATAATGAACTATGGTTGTTCTTGGTTGAAACCTACTGAGATGGATTTGACATAGATATACCACAAAGCTCCCTCGCATGCCAAACAACGTCCATCTAAGAGAAGTTTGTTAAAATCTAGTACCCAATCACAATTTTCACATGGGTATAGTTTTTCACATGGGTATAGTTTTTCACATGGGTATAGTTTTTCACATGGGTATAGTAGAGATATTGGCCAATCTCAATAACTAGGGATACTTACTACGTCTTCAACGAGCAGAGACGGGATTTCCGATTCCGGTACGAGGCCAGTTTGTAAGAGGAGCATGCACCCAGTATGATAAAAGGTATTCCCACAAAATAAGAAAGTTCAGAATGAATTTTTCTAGACAGAGAAAGTGAGGTACTCACTAGCAGATGATGAGGTGTATATTATGTCCGGGAAAACCTTGGGAGGAGAGCATGTGGCCCGCAGCAACGGACACACTTCCCGGGGACGGAGCTGATACCATGCTTGGAGCTTTCCCCACAGCTTAGAAACAGAGACGGTATATGTATGCCTAGCTTCTCTTGTACCAAATTCGGGTTCAGCAAACATATTGATAATCTGGGCAAATATGAATATGGCAAGGTTACAGTAATCATCCACATCCTTTTTCATGGCTGACTCGATTGAGGTGTCATCTAACCAGAAATTCGCAGGTATCAGTGTCGTCTTGCCACTGATAAAGGCTGCCCATATATCTGACCCAGTTATTAGTGATTCGCAAGTACTGGGCCAATTAAGTGGTACCTATTCGAGCGAATGCCCAAAAACAAGATTTGACAATTCCCTGGCTAGATCCATTCCAATTCTTTGCTAGAAGAAGGCCAGCGCATCCCTATAAACGTAATCAGCATATATATAAAGGTCTGATACATAAGGGGCGGCACCAGCACACCTTCAAGTGCCGCCTCCAGTCATGGACACTCGAAGCCATCATTTCGTAAACGCACAGCAGAGTGCAGGCTGCGAGAATCGCCACCCCTGCTGTTGCAGGGTCCTGCTGTAGAAGGTGCTTGATTGTATATTGGTACAGTTCTAAAGTGACTGGGCGCTGTACTTTTGCGACGTGGTCCTGCTGACGAGAAGCAAGAGACATTGCAGCGGCTACAAAAGCTTCGGACTCAGCCATAGAATGCAAGGATCTCATTGTGAAATGCATATTTGAGTCGGTTGTCTCACACCATGTTCCCGTCTCCTTGATATACGAAGAAAGCAAACGGGCTTTTTCTGAGGAACTCAAAGGCAAAAATGGCTCAGGCGGCCGCGGTTTGTCCTGAGAAACACCTAGACCGAGCGAGAAAGGTGGAATATACGTCTCAGTTGTATGCGTGACTATACTGTGCGTGCCATGTGGTGGGTAATGGTGAGTATTGGATAATGGGGAGAACGTATACTCACGAACCACGGGCTGGAGTGGCCGCGCGAATTCTGTGCTGGACTGACATAGATCAGTGACACTTAGATATGAAGGCGTCAATTTGACCTCGGTTCCTGTGGCACGAGAGGTAGAAGACTCTTGTAAATGAAGGTAGGAAATATCCGGCGTGCTTGCGCCCCCATCAGAGCGACTGCTATACGTAGTCAACGTTGTCGGCGCGGCAGGACTGTCCATGATGGATTTTTCTTCGTTTAAGACATCCTCGTTGTCATTCTTCTTCTCCGATCCATCCACTGCGTCCGATTGGTCTGAATCAAACTCATAAGTTTCTCGAAGGACATGATATTGACTAGCAATTGACTTCGATTCATCGATTATCTGGATCCACGACGTTAGTAAAAGGTACATAGTACATATAAATCCGAATAGCGTACCGTCATAACACCTTGCGTCGGAACTGGTGAGAAATCCTGTTGCCTTCCGCCAGGGCACAAGGACGCAAATTCGCTATGAGATAAGATGAGGTTACGCGAATGGTGGAATAAAGCCCTGAGCCCCCATTGGCAAGTCGTTCCCCGAACTTGACAATTTCTGCAATGTGGGCGGGCTCCATCACCTGTATTGATATTGGTGAGGAAAGAGGCAATTCTATGGAGGTTTCATGATGCTCTTACACTTCCGGCGACGGCGACGGCACTTCAAGCTAAAAGCAGTTAACTGCAGCCACTTGGTTTATGTAGTTGCGAAAGGCTGTTTACCATCCTGACCTCGTCCTTTTCCACTTCACTTTGACCTGACTTGTTGCGGCTTCACTATCTGGCGCTTCCATTTTCCCTACAAGCTTCGCAGGGTCGATTTGTAATGAAAGGGGGGTTGTGCGGGAAAGAAAGTTGTGTGGGGGTTTGGGTTATCCTTCGGCTCCATTAGTCACATTGGATGGGCTGGGTCCTTCTACCATCCACGAAAGTGAACATAAGAAGCGCAGGCGCCGCTAATGGTGCGTGATTGCCACCATTGAGCGATAGTTTTGTGGAGACTTTCCCGATCAAAAGCTAATCACGTGTTGACTGACCTACAAAAAGAAAAGATGGCAACTGCAAGCACCGCCAAGCCATTAAAACGAAAGTATGCCGCTAGCAAGCTATACAAAGTTCCAAGTATTGGGCAGGTTCGATTCTACGCACTCACGAGTGACTTCAGCCTATTCGAGTAGTGTATCAGGTATTAGATCGTAGAGCACTCTATGCACCTCCGCAGCCGCTGTGGGAGTAGAATCATACAATTGGCATAACCCAGAACGCGAACCGTTGGCCACTTCAACTGGAGATTCTATGCAAACCGGGGACATTGCCTGAGAAAAATTTCTTTTGATGCAACCCCCCGACGGCTATCTCTGCCATTTAACAAGAGTGGATGGCAAAGCATTCGTATTGTGGCTTTCCGGAGTGAACTTTGGTGTGAGACAGACCTCTGTACAACACAAAAAGCGCTTATCGCCTTCATAGCAATCCGCTGCAAATAATCAACAAGTTGATGGAAGTCAACGAAAATTTACGCAGGTGAGGTGTAGCAGGTAGGATATACTCGCTATTTCTTGCATTCACGGGAATTCTCATTTTCGGATTTGGAATCCAGTTGAGAGCTTGTTGAGACCCGAATGTGTTGGGAGAGTAGGACGTTAATGTCATAGTTTCAAGCTAACTAATGTGCGTATTAAGATGTTCTACAGACATATGATATCGTCGGCATGTCTGTGAGACAGCATTGGCAGGAGCATCATATGAAACAGCGATACATCTCATGTTCTTAGACCCTGTACACAATCTTATAGTTGGAGATGGCCCCATCACGGTATTCCTGGAACCCTTTTTGCACAGAGTCGAGTCCCTCGAAGAGTTTCGGAGTATTTGGCGTGATGATTCCCGAGGAGAGCAACTCAGGAAGTTCTTTGAAGAACTTGGCAGAAAGCTCATGATCCTCCTTGTGAGGCTGGAAATCGGATTAATAGCCATTTCATATGTTCAATATCAAGCATGACCTACCGGCCAATAAAAATCCTTATACTTATGCTCCTTCAAGAAGGCTGTCCAGACAAGTACATCTGTCACCTTAGTTTGTTTCGTCACATTTTCAGTAAAAGCTTTGCCCGGACGAACAGTACACAAGCCGCCGCCTTGTTCAGAGATTGCCTGCGATGCAGTGACCGAGGATGAGCCGTTGCCGATAGTGTCGAAGACATACTTCAGGTTGGAGTTCGTAGCGGCCTTGATACTCGCCACCACCTCGGGATCGCGGTAGTCGAAAGCGTGACTAGCACCAAATGACTTGACAAGGTCATGGTGGCGGGGACTGCAGGTCGTCACAATGTCGAGGCCGTAGTGCTTGGCAATCTGGATGGCGTAAAGTCCGACGCTTGCTGCAATGCGTGAGCGCCTATCCTCTTGATACGCCACATCTCATTGGTTCAACTCACAGCTTCCGCCCCAGATGAGAACAGTCTCTCCAGACTTATGAGGGATGTTGAGACAGTCCTTAGAAAAGAGAGCAAGCAGTGCTGTGCACGCGGCGAGAGGTACTGTGGAGGCCTTCTCAGGAGGGACGCCTTTAGGCAAAGGGAAGCAAATTCGCTCATCTGCGACGGTGTACTCGCTATAGCCACCCAGTCCTTTGATCTCACCTGTTCAAAGGGTTTAGACTTTAATTAGGATCTAGATACCCGAGACGGTAACTGACCTCCCCAAATCAGACCAGCAATCACGGTGCCAGTCTTTAACCTGCTCACTTTATCCCCCGTCTTCTCGACAGTACCGACAAAATCACAACCCAGGACAGCGTCATCTCCGAAGGCATTGGTGTCGAGTGACTGGACTAACGGACTCAACTTTAATCATCACAGAGGCGCGCTTGAAAGCAAGACTTACCATCAGTAGGGTTCTGGGCGACATGGGAAATTTTCACCAGCACCTGATCTTCTCTCGGAGTCGGCACCGCAATGGTTTCTTTAGATAACTTGCCGCCTTTGGTGACGAGAGCTGTGGCAGTGGTAGGAACCATTTTTCGAAGTTTTCAAGTACTATTCCTGCTGAATGAGTTCTCAACTTGATGTCAATTGCTTTTCTTTTCCAGCAGCTGCAGGGTCTGTGTTCGATGCAGCGGGGTCCTTGTGCCTCTGTATATGAGTATTGTTCACCCACAGTGACCCAGACGACGAGATTTGTAATCAACCATAATGTCGTCAGTAGAGCGTCATTCAATTCACCGAACATTAAATTTGCCTAAAAATTACTTCAAGAGATGGTGTGTGTTGAGGTACGCATTTGGCTTCCACCATGACATTGGCGCTTGCAGATGCCAGAACAAAAAGTGGCAGCGGCTAGAATTTCCGTTTATGCTTGGGTGAGTCTTCAGTCACTGATACCCCAATAGTTTGGGAGGTCCCACATCTACCGTATGCAGAATTATTTTTATTTCTTGGCACCCTTATGAGCTGCACACACAAAATAAGAACATGTGGACATTTATAACCTAACAAAAGTTTTACTATATTAAATCTAGGTTCAAAAAAAAAATAAATAAATAAATAAATAAATAAATAAATAAAAAAAGAAAAATAAAAGGCAACAGGACCCTCTCAGGTGTCTTATCAGTAGGCTGCTCTTATGCTTTTAGCAATCGAGTTTCACTCTGCTTCCAATGACTGACAGCGCCACACAATTGTCTGTAGATCTCTCCATGGACCTTTAGTGGTAGAATGACAGCTTAAGGCCTCCAGCTGCAGACGATGTCACAGCCTGGCGGACGTAGCACACTTGAATCTGGCATAACTCCTGTGAAGTTACTTGCCTTGGACCATACCTTAATCCACTAAGTTCAATTAGAGTAATTTAAATGCCTCATGATCAAATTAGTTCTGTCATTTCTGACTGCAACGAAAAGCAATCGGTGAGTTCGGGTCGGTTCAGCAGGGTACCTGTACTGATTTGGCTAGACCCTGCTTAAAGAGACGATAGCTAACAAGAGAACACGAACCAGATGGCGAATAATATGAACCAATCGGAAGGCCTTTTGGCAGCTTGAGCTTGGGGAATAGCTTACCATGCTTGCCGCAAAGACGTAAGCGTTAGTCTTGAGCGCACATGGCTAACCTATTCCGCCTAGGAAGCTCAGATGAACTTTGTAACAGGTGGCAGGGTCCACAAAGGAGGCACAGCTTTCATTTTCTCAGCGCCAAGTCCACCACCACCACTACATGCCTACAGCAGGTCCAGGCGCCAGCCCGCTCAGAAAACCGCTACTGCATTTTAGTGATCATTAGGGGCCTGAGCACATTATACGCCGCAGCAAGCTCGGGAAACCCCGTGTAAGGCAGGGCCGTTCGCATGCTGCACCCCAGGTTCAGATGAAAGTTATTGACGATGCTGGATTTAGTATAGTCTTGTGAAGAAATGGCAACTCCAAGCTACGTCATATTTGTGCGAACGAAAGCGGAGCAGTCGTCTTGACAAATACTTTCATCTAGATATGATGGCATGGGAGCTTCATTGGATTAGAGGAGACTTTTAGGCCATGCTACTAAAAGCTGGACTTGTTAAAGACAGCTAGTAGGGTTCGCAACAGCCCTTCGGAGTACATAAAGATGAACTGTTCCGCCGGTCTCATTTTGCTCTCCTCTCCCAGGCAGGGTACCCTCGTTCCATCGAGCAGCTTCCTGACCACACCAGCCTGACCAACACTAGCAACAGCCATTCAAAGGATGAAGCTCTCAAAGACCCTGGCAAATATCTTCTTCGGCTTCGTCGTCCGGGCCGAAGTGCCTTCCAACAGGACTGCCGAGACCAAGTTGGTGCAGATCAAGAAATTGCTCATGCCTCAGCTCTCCGAGAATGCCACGATTATCTTTCCCGACTCCGAAAAATGGTATGATGTTACCCATCGTGCTGCTGCTCCCCGCGTGAACCCAGGCTATCTCGCCGTTGTTGACGTAGCTGCCGAAGACGATGTTGTGAATACAGTACATGACCAATTATTCATTGAATGACGGAACATTATCTAATTATTTACAGATCAAAGTTGCTAACGAGGTTGGAGTCCCATTCCTAGCTGTCACCGGCGCCCACGGCTGGACCGACGATATTAGCAAGATCCAGGACGGAGTTCAGATTCGTATGCGTGGCCTCAACCATGTAGGTCTGAGCCCTGACAATGACACTGCATATGCTGGTGGTGGTGTCCTTCAATACGAAGTCGTACAGGCTCTGTATCCGTATGGAAAGCAAGCTGGTAATCTCTTCTACCCTCTCATGTGGACCGCGCACAAGCCAAGAACCATCGACTGACAGGAATATTCTCCGTAGTCCACGGTCTCTGCGAGTGCGTCTCTATCCTAGGTCCTCTTTTGGGTGGTGGTCACAGCGTGCTTCAAGGTGATTACGGCTTCGCTGCTGACAGCTTGGTCTCAGCAAAGGTCGCTCTCCACAATGGTACTGTTGTCACTGCCTCAGCCACTGAAAACGAAGACCTCTTCTGGGGCCTTCGTGGTGCTGGTCACAACTTGGGTATTGTCCTTGAGTTCGAGGTCAATGCTTATGACATCCATCCAGATCCATGGACCTTTATGACCTTCGTCTATGAGGCCGATAGGATTGAAGAGTACTTCGAAGCTTGGAATGAGCTCGAAGACAGCATTGCCGACCCGGGTTTGGTTGTTTTGAACGGCTATTACCGCAACTTGCCCAAATTCAACGCTGAGAAGGTAATTAACCAGCCTCGTCTTTGTTGCCGCAAGTCACATATAGCAGCTCTTGCTAATAATACTCCAGCCTGTTGTGGTCATGGAGCTCATCTACCAGGGTTACAACACCGCTGCTCCCCAGTACATTGAAGCCTACCGTGCTATTGGTCCCATTCACGAGGAGACAATTACTGATATCTACTGGAACGAACTCTTCGATATCACTAACTTTGGTCGTGATGACCGGGTGTGTGTCCCGAGTCAGAATTGGGCCGGCTACTCCAATTCCATCGTCCGTTGGGATCCTGCGTCCATGCGCGAAAGCTACAACATCTTCGCTGACCTTGTTGCCACTGAAACCTACAACACGTCCACCTTCATATTCGAGTCCTATGGCCGCAAGGGTGTCCGCAACTTCCCCGATGACTTCAACGCTGTCCCACCAGAAGAGCGCAACAGGCATAACATGTTGGCTGCCTTCCTATTCTGGTCTGGTGATGACGAGACGGAGCTCGCTGTGGCTCGCGAGTTCGGAAAAAGGCTCCAAGTTGCCAGCCGCAACGGTGAGACTGCGCACTCTTATGTTAACTATGCCATGGGCGGCGAGGAGCTTCCGCAGGTGTACGGCCGTGAAAATGACCGCCTCGAAAAGCTTCAGACCATCAAGGCCAAATTCGATCCTCACAACAAGTTTGGATTCTATGCCTCCCTCGCAGATGCTTGATTGCAAAGATTAAATGATAGGAGCAGCTTAGGAGGATAGTGAAGAGAGCCGGGATATAGATATATAGGCTCAGCCTCTTATCCGGCCTTGGAGTCTGGTCTTGGTTGGCACTGCAGGCTTTTCGATGTTTCACGCTTCGACGAACGAAGTATCGCTCCTGGTCAGTGATCGACCCCTTAACTGGAGAGCTAGCGTAGACAGTATCCCCTCTGATGCTGTCTAATAGAGTTTATAGAATAGCGTAGGTCAACCTAAAATACATATATATGAGATGCTGGTTCTTGGTGGAGTACACGAAGCTAAGTACAGAGCCTACTAGTTCCGGCCCTAATCTATTGGCCAACTTACGGACTGATAATTGCTTAAGGTCATCCGAGGTTCTCACAAGCTCGGATGACCCGGATGCGCGACTGAGTTGTCATTTGAGCTGATTTGCTGCTACGACTGGTCGCGTTCCTTTATTCACTTGACGTGCTGGCGAGCAATGGGTACGTAAGGCTCGGTCTCGAGAGAGGTTATTTTGGCCTAGGCTGAGCTCGGTTGTGGGCCCACAACCAGGTATATATGCTATAAAGCTGCCAAAATGCACTTCGTAAGTCTCGTGTCTGGTCATGTATATCGGGCTGCGCGACACATTGCGCAGATTCTTAGAGTCCACCAGTGGTAAGGTAGATTTGCCATGAGGCATTCTGGCAGTAGCGATTCCTTATTATCTGAGAGAAAGTATTGCTACTGCACTTCCTGACATGCACGATCATAGTGTAGGTTCTAGAACACTGATAATTCTCTTCCACTCAGTCTGTACCTACCTTGCGAGTGTCATCTAGCCTTCCTTTTTGAGACTCATTTGAAAGGCCATGGGCTAAAATGACTCAGGAATTGTTCATTCACACCTAAGTAATCGCAAAGGACCGGAATGTGTCGAATATTTTGGTTTCTAAGGTCCCATAACGTTCGAAATCCGTCTTTAGCTTGTTCCATTTGTCACGAAGCGCTCTCGAAAAAATGTAAAATCGAATTCATATGTGTTTACTACTATAAACATAGGCCATATAATTAATACCAAACGCGTAATATTTCGGCTCGAATGTGTGTGCCAGAAAAAGACGAAGCTACAGAAACAATATTATAGTAGAGATCGTAAGAAACCGGGAAAGAGGAAAAAAAGATAGAAAGAAAGATGACCAGAAGAAAAAGAAATAAAGAGAAGATGTAATCCAGGACGATTGACGGCCGGAAATCACTGGATGAGAAGATTGCGTCCGAAAGGACGATTCAGACGGGCGGGGTTATAATGGCGTAATGGGTAAAATTTAAATGGCTTCAGGCAGCTTTAGGGGAAGGAGGGTGAGCCGCGTGAAGGTAAAGCGGCGAGGGCACTAAACCCAACAAATCCAAAAAAAAGAGGTGAACACGGACATACAACAGAAGGGATTCGCTGGTGGTCACCCACCCAACTACTAACCTCCCGGCGTGTGGCTTAAGTACGGCTGAGCGGACGGGAAGCCCTGTTTTCCACACCCTGTGGTCGTATGTGCTTCTTTCTTCACAGAATATAAATATGTAGTACTTGTAACGATCACTGATTTGCTTTGGGTGAATAAAGACTTCCGATCTCCTCCAGATGATGGATGTGAAGCGGATACATGTCATGGTATAGAGGCTCGGAAGAGTGACGAATACCATGGACTAGAATAAGACAGAGACCACAATAGAAATACGAGCAGTCTAATCGAGCGCTATGTAGACAAGTGGGTCTGGATTCTCTGTCCAAAACACTGTGCTTGACTTTGCTTAGATTCACATCCCATATATGAACTTTAAGTGTCCTCAGAGAACACAGCATGTGTGGGAGCATCCCCGATCCTCCAGGAGCATATCTAGCTTGGGTCTTCAGGTAACGATTGTACCAAGACTTTCCTGAACGGAATCTTTGCAGTTCGATATGAGTGAAATTCCATGATAATGTGGTCTTTGATGTGTAATCTATGGCATATGGACCCGTCCTGTTCTTAAGGCCATCCAAGGAGCGGCCGATATGCAACGGAAGATTAATAACCTTTCCACACGCTTGGCGGCGTTCGCAGACGAATTAACAATCTCGGCCCGTTCTTGATTGCTGAGGCCACCGTAAAGGAAGCAATGGCTCTCCATCCAAATGACAAAGCGGGCAAAAAGGTAGTGGAGGACGCCCTGCGCGCTGCAAAGCAAACTTAAATACATCTTCGCCTGTCTGCCATCCGACGATACTCACTCGCACGTCTTACTCTCCGTCGACGCTCACTCGCCTGTTTACCATACGTCTTACCACCCGTCGAGGCTAATCTGCATACTTAAAGACCTCCTATTTACGACGACACTATCGTTGAGGACAACGACTACGCGAGAGCGGGATCCCTGCAACGTGCCTTCCATATCGGAGGCAGCAAGCAGCCGTCGGACACCTCCTTTTAGCAAGCATTCTATGTAACTAGCAAGCATTCAACAAGCATCCTACTGAAACAACAAATTGAACCACCATCTGCTTTGACTTCGTTTTCTTCTTCTTCATTTGCTTAGAATTAGATTCGTTCGCTCCAGCACGGAGCACTAGGCTAGTCATAAAATTATGCCGTAACTCGTCTATTAGAATACGCTAAACTTTGATAGCGGAGTAAGTCAGGTACCGTGTTGTCAGAGGAACTCCATGCTCAGTCATTTTCCAGCAGCGACGTATTGTAATTCTCTGTAGATCCCCAACGGTCATTTGCTGCTTGAGGAATATCTGCTGATCGGCAATACAATACCATAGGCGGGTGAATGGCCTCACCTTAAGCCGCAGTAATGTGTTACTCATGCTATGTTGCTCTTTCCTGTTTAGCTTCTGTGAATGAAGCTAGTGAATCTACTTTGATGGGTATAGAAGCATCATAGTGACATGATCATGACCCGAAAATTACCCCCGAGTTTGTGACTCGAATACAACTATCCTCCCTCGCAACTTCCTCACTGGTCTACCATCTGATAGTCAAGCTGCACCCACGGAGAACATACCTCGGTTCAGCAAAGACCGTGAAAGATCAGTCTCTCCTCGGCGAAAGCAGATCGCTGGACTCTTTGACAACCTGTCCATCTCCCCGGCTGCAAGCATGACAACATCCGCCAGTATGCGAAGCGCCATCAGCAGTGCTTTTACGACTTGTGGCTGGCCCCCCTCTATATCAAAGATCTTCCGTGTGGCCGAAAGCCGTCTAATCTACACAATATCCATGGACTCATCTGCACGGGCGTACATTCCCCTCCATGACGATTCCCCGAAGGACTTGTTCAAGAAAGCTACAGATATCTATAAAATTATCCAAGAAAAGCTGGAAGAAAAGGGCAGTGTTGGTACTGCACTCATCAGTGATACTCTGACACGATATTTGGGTACCGTGATCTTCGGCAGCAACTACATCGAACGTGCTGGCCTCAACCTGGAAGAGACCAACAAAATCTGCGAACGTATCTTTCGAGGAGAATTCGTGGATCCAGAAAAAATACCTGAAAAGTAAGGATTTCAAAAGGTAGATACCTGTTGTGACGATAGCTAATCAAGATGTGCGCTTCTTCAGAGAAACACATTACGAGAAGAAACTGATCGAGGCGATCCACTCTAAGACCCCAGCATCTCATATCATCCGAAGCCGGCGAGAGGTAGTCCAACATGCGCTGGCACTGAACTTTTTGATAGATGAAGTGGTTGTCAAGGACAAACCGCTTTCCGAGAACCTGATTCTCCATACCCACCAGATTCTGACGGAGTGTATCGACACGGCTGGGGGCATCCCTTGGACAGAATACTCGGGCAGGTATAGAAAGGTACATGTTCATGCCGGGAATACGAATTTTGTTTCGCCTAGATATGTGCCCGCGAAGATGAAAGAGCTGGTTGCCGAGTTCGAGAGAGATATTCATAAGTTTGAATCTACCCATGTCCTTGATCCATTCACCTTGGCTGCCAAGTACTGCAACGACTTTGTGATGATTCATCCTTTTGCCGACGGTAATGGAAGAATGTGTCGATTGATCATGAACGCAATACTGTTAAAGTACGCCGGGATCGTGGTCTGTCTGGGTGAGCACGATGAAAGCCGCCGGCAATACATCGACATTCAAAAGCGAGCTGGAGAACGTATGGAAGGTTCAGGAGAGCTTGCTGCATTAATTTTGAGAAAGTCAGTTGCTCGATATCGAACCATTAAACAGAAAATCAGCGGAAAGAAGCAGGGTTGATGGTTTTCTTTTATTCTTCGCTTTTTTGCGGACTTTCGCTTTGCTGGGCACATTATGCAGTTTATTATCCGCGGTTAGGAATACTGAGGGATCCTGAGTGGGGATTGATGGCTTGCTTTAGCAGCCAGTAACTGGATTATACTTATGAAGAAACTACCTAATTCAAGCCGGCTGCCTACCACTTTTTTTACCCCATGTGGATTACCGCAAAATTCAAGGTAATATCCGCCAGCATTCATTTTCTGTGACTGACTGTGAGTGCCATGATTCTGAAACTATTCGATATGTGTAAACATTCACTGTAGGCAGACACTTCACCAAATCACTTTCCGTCTACGTGCCATGTCTGCAGCTTTCACTTCAGTAATCTTTCTCCTTTCGAGGGCTTATTCAAGGACCCAGGGCGCCAGCAATCCGACTCCACGTCTGAATATTCTGACAGTGGTATCCATCGCCACTCAATATGGGAGAAACTAACCACGCAAATGCAGTCATGAGAATATGACCATCTTTTACAGGTGAGGAATATGTTCATGTCACGATGTTTCGTCAAAAACAATTTAATCTTTGACCAAAACTAGGTACAGAAGATCGAAGATACTATATAAAGCTGAGTCTGAAATGGAGGCAAATTATCTAAGCCTATCGCGATCAAACTTGTTTCTTTTTCTCTACAGCTTATAATGATACCGTTCAATCTACGCCGAGACCCTAGCACCTCGAATATCGAAGATTCACCTTCCACCGCAGGGCGCACAGGCTTTCCGAATCACAATACACCCTCAAAGGCATATCGTGTACTCGACTCGTTAATTATAGTTTGTGCATCTCATCCATACCACTGCCTATGTTCTGCCTGGGCTGGGGAAGAGGGCTAAATATTCGAACTATATATACACTTTAAACCATTCCACAAGATGCTGTCCCTGGCGTGATGTTACAAGGATTTTCAAAATGGCCGAGGAAAGATGGTCATTCTTTTGTGGATTTCACATCATAACGACGCGGGTCTAGAATTCACAATATATAAGACCAGTGGATGGCTGAGAGCGACATTAACCTGCTGACTTTGTTACTGTCCGTGAGCCTTTCAACGACAAAGGCGAATTTGGTGACTTCAGTCTCGGCGCTACCAATGATGGTGTCCTCGTCATATTATATAAAAGGTCTCAGATCACTTCCCAAATGCTCTCAAGCCTTGTTCACGTACTATGTATGCTTGAAACAAAACATCTTCGGAATCTTATTCTCTAATAGATTTGGAAGCGTACGACAACCCTTCGAAATTTACCATTATTATGCCTGGTAAGCAATCAAGCCCACTACTCGTTTATTGGCAACACTAACACAATCCATTGTCTACAGATGTACCGAAATCTGCAGCTGCGGTAGGAGCACACAGGGATGGGGGAGGGGGGAAGAGAACGTCGAACGACCACCGAGACAAGGAGGAGCACAAAGTCCTGATCACAGGAAAGCCTTCGGCCGAGGAAGCAATTTTTTCGTAGTGAGGTCTCGATCTCTTTTATCGATACCCGCGAAGGCATATGCGAGGTTATCGAAGCCTTAATGGATACTCCAGCTACTCCCCCCTCTATATACATCGACCTAGAAGGTATGAACCTCGGTCGAGAGGGCCGGATCTCTATTATTCAAATATTCTTATACCCACATAATCATATCTACTTAGTAGACATTCGTACTCTCGGGGCCACAGCGTTTAATCATGCAGCAACTACGGGAACCACTCTGCGATCCATCCTGGAATCATTTATGATTCCCAAAGTCTTCCTTCGATGTCCGGAACGACTCTGCAGCCATGTTCCATCAGTATCAGGTGGAATTGGCAGGCGTCCATGACCTGAAGGTCATGGAGGTGGGCACCAGGGCACATCCCGGGAGGTACTTGTCCGGGCCGAAAAAGTGCATCTCTAGGGATGTGTCCATGACCCGAGCCGAGAAGGCTAGCTGTTCAGCTACAAAAGATATAGGGGAAAAGCTTTTCTGACCGCAGCGTGGAGGCTCGTTCGAAGTGTATGTAGTTCGGTCATTGCCAGAGGAGATAGTTCAATGTTGTGTACAGGATGTACTCCTTTTGCCTAATCGGTGGCAGATATACAACCAAGCACTTACCCAGGCCTCGAGAGAAGGTAGAAGCTGAAGTGAATAACAGAATTAGACATAGCCAATCATCGCGGTTTATTGGGAAGGGGAGCCATATGGTCTTAACTCCCCAACTCTGGGAGACTGTACCGGAGTATCCGAGTTCCTGGCTCTGACTGCATCCTCAACACATAATGATTCACGAATCGATGATGGACTTCTACATTATCAGGAGCAATAACTGGAGTTTATGTTGGTCTAACTATACCTGTGGGTTGTATAGTTACGTCATTTAAACATAACTTCAGGCTGCCAGACTCGTTGTTGAAAGCCTCTTGTGACGTGTCAGACCCAGAATACTCCGTAACTAGAGCTGTATGGGAATGTAAGTAATCGTTTGTGGAAAAGACTATATAATTTCCGGTCATACCAGTTCGTTCTTGAGCTGTAATCGATCAGCGGCCTCTCAGATGTCGGCCCTCCACGACTATTTACGCCATCCGCTCCAACTACAATATAGCCTTCGTAGATCTTCTCATTGGCCGTAGTGGCAGTAGCCCAGTCGTCGAAGCTCTAGGCAAGTATTACTTTCGCTGAAAACCGGGATACCCTTCGTAGAGGACTTGCAGGACATTTTGTCGATCGATGAATGCAATAGGATACCCCAACCTGTGTATTTCTTGATAAGCGGCTATATATTGTGTCTTGCAGCAAGTGACTCTAACGTTTTCGCATGACCTTTAAGTACGAGCCTTTCACCTCCAGGGTAGATGACAATCGGCGTTGTCAGGAGCATCGCGTAACTCTTGTTCTTCTCACAAATCCCGAGTTAATATAAAATTCGAGCTCTTTTGGGCATATTCCCATACTTGCGGCGCCGGGTCTGGGTTTTTTACTTGGACGATATGTGGGATGCTTGCAGGGTAAAGACAATGGGCAAGGGTGAGACCTGAGAATGACCCTCCGACAATTATCGAAGTCTGTCTGGTGTATGAAGAGATGATGAAAGAGAATAGCGAAGAGGTACAGATAATAATAACTACCCGGTGACTTCAATGGCTGTGCCCACGATAAACACAGCAGCAGGCCAGTCTGCCACCGTGCGTTACAGAAAGAACCACATATGCTATCAACTGTCCCGATTGTTGTCCAAGTACAATGAAGAGACCCAATGTTGTTTGCTTATGGTAGCCGGGCTGTCATTTCTTCCTGCATGACGTGGCAATCCTTGTATCCCCCGGCGATCCCAAATGTCGACTCAAAGTACTAGTGGATCACCAATCATTGAGACTTAGCAAGGTGTTCTTGTCTCAATGCCTCCTTCTTTTCGACTCTCAGGATGTACCAAGAGCAAAGGCCATATGACAAGTCTAGAAAGAGAAACATCCCCGCCGACCACAAAATCAGAGGATTGTCCAGCCAGGCAAATGCCTCAGGCCAGTACCTCCAACGTAACGCAGCCATACCCACTACGCTAAGAGAACCGATAAACCTCGATATCCTACAAGTAATAGGAAAGTCAGCTTCGCGCTGGGTTTAGACCATGTGAGGTGTTTTACCACAGAAGATTCGACGCCCCGCGACTACTTCCCCGACAGAGCAACTGACACAGACCACCGGTGCCGAGAAGCAATTGGCAAAACGCCGCACTCCATGTATATGAAACTGCAGGACCAATGTATGCCGCAAAAGCTATGTGTCCAGCCAGGAAGCCAAGAGTACACACGGCAAAGATGTACCGAAGGTTCCGTTGGACCAAGGGTGCGTGGGACCATTCATTGGGTGAGTGTCTCATGGCGCTGTACATGATCGCGACGTTGACTATAAGCGCAGTTACCGTAACGATCAGTTCCAATCGATTCTTTGGTGGGTATATTACTCCGTAAGAAAATTCCCAGGCAATGTTGCAACAGAGAGGCATAATGCCCATTGCGTATGTCTTCTCTTTGAAAGAAATATGAATCATGCCAGCGTAGTTGACTAGCCAGCCCAACGTCATGGTTAAAGTGAGAATATTAACAATGGGCTCAACGGCTCTGTAAGCCGCTGGAGCTTGAGTAGCGTCAAAGCCGTCCATAGTATTATTCCGATGATTGTGGCCGCAGTGTCATTAGTTCGCAGCGATACTTGCGACTGAAATATAGCCGTGGACTTGGTTCGTTCTTGAATAACGACAGCGCCCGAAAAGGCGATGCGCAATCTTATTAGCCTGGCAAACCGCGGGTTATGCAGCGTCAGGGGCAAACAAACATGTGCGGACAGCACTTCCGTAGTTCCCGCAAATGAAAAGCAGATTACTCGAGGATTGAGTACCGGACTGAGAATTAGCACATAGTAATGAACGAATCGCGGGCTACAGGGAGCAAACAGTCCACGTGTAGTGTGGTTGTTGTGTTTGTCACATACCCATGGCCTCCGCTTGGTTGGATGCTGCCTGGGCCATTTCTCAGTCCATATTAGGCAGGAGCAGTCTTATCACAGGAATTTGTCAGGGCCATGGATGGATTGAGGCACCTCCTTATCCAAGTCAGGGTAGGTTTGATTTCATGTTAGCCTGTGACAACCTTGAAAGCAGGAAGTTACATCACATCCTTCGCTTATCACGGCATGGAGCTGAGCTACGACCTGCGGCATATATGTGCATATCGAGTCTAAGTCTCTACCCATGGCGCAAAACTGTAAGTCACAATATCTGTGAGCATTCATGTGAAAGAATAATACCACACAATCCCACCACTCCTTGACGGACAGTAACATTGTTATGCTGTGTAGTTCACAATATCCTGGATCCAACATTGCATACTTCCAGAACACATCACATTGGCCCCCGAGATAGTCAGTCGGAGCCACAGATGTCAGTCGCTCTAAATTTGAATATCTTACAAGGCTGGCAATCCACAATAGAGTAGGTGCTACTGTCAAGATTATCAGGCTTTCTACACAGGCGTCTCCTCGCGTTACTATACATTATGCGCAACTTCACTTGCCAGTCTAAACGTTCATGACTAAATCATTCAGTTGTCAATGAATGGGAAGAGGCTTTTCACGCATGTCTGAAGCTGTGGGACGCTTACGTAGTAAGGTGGTCTACCGGTACCTACAGTTCCCTAGATTTCAGTGCAATTGCGTGTTTTTGCAGGTTCTAATGGCCGATGGCATGAAAAGATGCGGTGTGACCGGATCCCGACCAAATTGGCGGTAACTGCCTCCCGAACCTTGTCATCACCCGTCCGTGGCCGCTCCCTGCAAACAGCAAGACAGATGCAATAAAGATATACACCGCTTGTTCAACTCTTTCTTATAATTTGGAAGAGCACTGGCTTAGAGAATAGTCGACAAGGTATCCGATATTTTCCCACTATACCTTCATATAATGTATATCAGATATGAGAAACCTAATGATTAGGTTCGATAGAACAGAACGTGGAAGAGCCACTATAGAAGTGCGCATAACAGCATTCATTGCACCATGCATGGATTATTTCTGCTCCGTAGAATTCTAATATTATTGATATTGTTAGCTTCTTCCTAATACTTCCTCCTTCATTGGTGGTAAGAGACGATAATACCCTACTATTTCGCATGGATATACTCTCGTCCTTCGGGGACGAGTCTTTCTTGACTACGGCTGACATGCATAATAATCTGGGGGTAGAATGGGCTTTTTGATTTGTTTACTGTGTCTTTTTCTATTTCATTCTTTTGTTCTTGGGCAGGAGACAACTCCGCTTAAAGATAAAGTTTGCGCGGCAGGACATTCGAAGCAATTGCTCTGCATTGCAGAAAACGCCAGAGTATGGAGGGTAATGACACTTTGCCAAAAAGGCCAGGTTGGCTAGAGTTTCCTTCTTTCAATGTAAGCTGAACCTTGCAGCGTCGCTGGTGCTGGTAAGCCTATTGTCTGTCCATCGGCCGTGCCTGTTCCCTCCTCTCTTCTTTGGTGCTGGCGTCAGTCACGTCTTACTTTCTGCTCAGGTTGGTAATGGATGAGCTAAAATTAGTGCATGACGGACAAGGAAGCAGCTATTGAGAAATTCAGTGGCATATGCTAATGAAAGTACCACGTCGATATGTAACAAAAGTATTACTACGCACTATGATTAGTACTACCAGAGTATATTGAGCCGAGTTGTTGACCCCATTTTATCTGACCCCATGAGTAATTTGAAAAAAGTACAGGGCTAATTTTAATTCGAAAAAAAACAACTGATTTCAATGCATAAGAAAGAGGGTAGTATAATATACCTGGGCATGATAATCACCTTGGGGTGAATACTCTTGTGATTGCTTAATAGCATGGGTAAATTCAGAAAACCAAAGGGAAAGAACTATCGCCCTTGCCCATTGGCTTGATATATTTAGCAAAAGCTTTTATCAAAAATTCAACAATTGGCCTGCTGGCCCAATGGTAAGGCGCTTGACTACGGATCAAGAGATTGCAGGTTCGAGTCCTGCGTAGGTCATTCTTTTTTTCTTCAAACCGCACCTGCTGGCCTAGCTCGTGTCGCAAAATCGGACAATGCCAGACATTAGAAAAACAGTTACTTTTGTTTAACAATCACAACTTCCCCCCCCCCCCCCTCCCCCCCCAAAAAATCTCGACCATCGATGTTCCTAGACTTGAGTAAATATTTCAGGTTGTGAAAGCATTGTGTCTGTCAGTCACGCGGTCTGGACCGACCTGCAATATACTAGTATTCTGCAGGGACCCACCGAACGCCATTTTTGACATGCTCCCATTTCACCGGTAACTAATGAGCCTATTCAACGAGTCAAGAATTCGCACATTGGGCGCTGTATTAAGTATGTGTGCTTATCCAGCGTTCGTAAGATGCAGAATGTTTCAACCTTGTATTGGCCATATATCTCCGGGGGCTGAAGGTCGCATGAGAAGCTGAATCTCATGTTTCTATATTCCAAAACCACCTGTGCTTATACTATGCATTATAAGGCAAGTGTCAGGGAATAGTTGTTTTGACATGTCATAATTGCCCTCGTTCGTATTAGAGACCATATCTTTACCTAAAAATGATATATGCCATTTGGGACCCGGAAGCTACCCCATGATTCATCATTTTTCCTGTTTTTATCAAGCTCACCACATAACAAAAGGGTCGCTAACTACCATGGCTGTTATGGCGGTCGTGTCTGGTTCTAGCAACTATGTAGTTGTCGGTGTTGCGATTGTTATATACTGTCTATGGTATGCGATAAGACAGTGGAGTAGTCAACACGTTCATCGTCGAGAACCACCATTGATCCCTTACTGGATCCCAGGCAAGTAATTGGATTACAATTACCTTCACAATACCCTTTCCAAGACAAGGCTAAATATATACAGGTGTCGGCCACACGCTCTCATTCCTCAGAAACACCGATAAGACGATAGCAAATGCCATGTAAAGCCCCTCCCAGAGCAAGAACACCAATTCCAATCTTAACAGAGCCACAGCCCATATCTAGAAACCGAGGATGGTACTTTTCGCCTTCAAGTTGGCGGTCAATCACTATATGTGGTCCAAGATGTAAGACTGATTTCCGAGGTTCACAAGCAAAACAAGTCTATGGGCAACAACCATTTTCTTGATACCATGATGGCAGCATCTGGTATCCCAGGCCCAACAAGAGCTCGTTTGTGGTCCTCATTCACTGCCAAAAGAAAAGTGCCAATTCCTCGCTCAATCACCCAGAACGTACGAAGAGCTCTGCGAGCACGGCCACAGAGTAACCCTCTCACCCTAACTATACTTGCACAGATGGATAAGACTCTTACACCTTTGGCTGCCTCTGATCCACTGAGAAGATCTATTGCTGAGCCAGACGAGGTTTCATTATTCGAATGGATTGTGGATGCCTTTATCGTGACCATCAGTGATGGTGCAATGGGAAAAGTGTGTTTAGATATGTTTCCAGAGGTAGTGGACAACATGTTTCGCCTTCAGACGAACATATACGCCATCTTTACGAGGCGTCCTAGGATTCTTGCCCCGAAAGCTTACGCTGCCTGTGACAAGCTAGCTCAGATTCTTGCCAAATACTTTGCCCTCCCCAGAGAAGCGAAGATTGGTTGCGCAGAGTTCGTGACTATGGCTGAAGATGAGATTCGCTCAGCAGCTGTTTCAGAGGAAGAGTTGGCAAAGATGTTTGTTTGGATTTATTGGGGGTGAGTTTATGATTCCCTCATTATCGTTTGGAACAAGCGCTTGGAGGTTGTCACTAAACTAAATACAGCATGCTCGACAATCCATCAACTGTTGCATTTTGGCTCTTGTGCAGACTTCTTCATAATCCTGGTCTGCTATCAGTGATACGGGAAGAATGTGAAGAGTCATTTTTGAGAAACAGCCCCATTACGCCGGCCGACATCCCAGCACGGCTGGAGTGCTGTCCAATCCTCAAGGCCACCTTTGAGGAAACCATGCGCATCCACTCCGGTCCACACGTATTTCGCCATGTTTCCGAAGATACAGAAATTGGTCCCTATCTTCTAAGGAAGGGTTCTACTCTTCTCATCCCTTATAACCGCCTGCAGATGAGTAAATCCCACTGGGGTCTTGATGCGGAGGAGTTCAAATATCAACGCTTTCTTGATAATCCGGGACTAGCAAATTCAAGGTATTACAAACCCTTTAGTGATGGAATTCATCAGTGCGGTGGCGTGGCAATGGCACCTCAGCTTGTGATGTACTTTGTTGCTATTGTTTTGTGCCGCTATGACGTGGACGTGCTTGGCGGGATTGAAAACCATCCATTTCCTAGACTTGATACTTCAAAAGGAAGGGCAACGGTGCCAATGCCGGTGGCTGGTGATATGTTTCGCGTAACTATTACACCGCGCAAAAGCGCAGTTTGATGGTAGGGATTTACCATCCGATCCCAGGCTTCATGAATCGATATATAGAAATTGCACTGATTATGCCTTTGCCTATAACAAATCACAGTCTTACTGCTGTTCATCATATGATCATGCTTTATTTGGAGCGCTCTAGTGAGCCTAATGATAGTAAGCCCCACACTAGAATATGTTCATCGAAAACGCAAAGGCTAACAGGCGCCATAAAAAGAGGCTCTTTCCAAATGTAAGCTGCAGAGATACTGACTGAGTCTTCACTACTGAATCCAGCCCCGTCTGATATTTGACCAATAAGATGCAGTCTCGCACAGTTATGCATAAGTATCAGAGGTTATTAAGCGATTGATTTGTCAGGTTGGCACAGTAAGCACCAGATGCCCTCCACATCTTCTACCTCGATCGCGATTCCGCTGGCTCTTGCTATAAGATATCCTTAACAATACGTGCCTGAAGTTCCATCATATGTGGCGATTGGTGCCGACAGATCCGTCCGGCAGGGCTTGTGGTTACGCGCTGCGCATCGGACCGGCGTGGATCGTGATAGAAGAGAAATGTGACATTGCAGAAAAAGCAAAGAAATCAAGAGGGGTATCCTTGGTCAACGCCCGCGCCACTCCTGTCTTGCTAGTATTCAACACTAGTAATCTCATTACTGACAGGACAACGGCCTCATCTTTACTAACGAAAAGACTTACTCTCTTTCTGTCGGAGCGGCATGTGGTCTGCTTGTCCACCACAGGCTCTCCATCAAGGTTATGGTCATGTAAAAGCACCGAATATTCTGCTTGCTCATGTTTGTGCTTTGGGCTAGATTTATCTTCTTTCATGGATGCTGGTAGAGCCAGCCTAAGGTCCTTCAATCATGTCGTTTCTGATAACGATGCACCCGGTGGCTCTTGTCGGCAGCACCACTACATATCGATTAGTCTTTCAACGACTGAAAGGAGTTCCAGATTCTCTATGGGCACGGATAATCAAGCTCTGAAATGTATGGCAGGCGAGACGATCGAGGAATCATCTGGTATTCGATGAACTCCATGCTCAATATCCGGATTTTGTTCGAACAGGTAATTCCCCTCCACTTGGACTCATCACCGTTAGTCTCTCTTCGCAGGACTAGGCGAGACTACCAACTTCCACTCAGACGCCTTTTTGACTATTGACGGTCCTCCCAATTTTCAAGGTTAGAGCTGGTTTCAAGGCCTCTGGGAATCATAGTTACGAAGAAGATGAATGATTAAGCAACCGCTGTAGAAGAGCATATATTTCTAGAAAACCATTCATGTCACGAACTTTGTAAACGATCTCATCAAGGGTTTGACTTTGTCTTCACCAAGATGGTTCGCGGTCCATCTGCTTTTCTGGGAGCCGTATCGCCCCTGGCCGTTGTGGCTCACCCAACTTGCTCCTCGTGCTCCTCTTCCCCTTGTCGCTGATTTCCCAGTGATGCCTGCGGGTCCTCTAAAGCAAAATGGGACACTTTCAACGCGACCGTACCTTTACCTAGCGTTTGCCATATCAACAACGCCTTACCCTGAACGACGCCCAGGCCTGGTTGATCACTGAATCATTGTTTAAATATGTATATCTCATCGAATATTGAAATGGAAATTCTTAACGCATATACTGTTGATTTACCCTAGGATCAATCCAGTCCAATAAAGTCGGCTGCATCCTCGGGAAACACGGTTGAATGAGCGTCACACCTGTAGGATTAAATTGAACCAGTTCGACTCCGAAACGTAAATCTGACTTTTGTGAACACGTGTCTTTGTAGCTAAATACTTCTAAGTTTTTCGAGCTCAGTGCTACTCCTTCTGGTTAAAGATGTGGGTTAAATTCACACCAGCGTCAAATAGAAAGCATCCGAATACAAGGGCTTTGCTGCAGGTCTACCTTGATTCATTTCTTTAAGCTCGATTGCCACACTGCAAACCTGCTTGAATAGCTATTCTGCATACTTAACTGCACTCTTCAGCACGATCTTCACCGCTTGTCCAATCATTCGCCGCTGCTGGGCGCAGATCATAGCCAACTTATCAGATGATCTGCCTCGCATATGATCTGCGCGATCGATCTCAGGTTCCAACATGCTCATGGTGAGCTTTCATTGGCCGGCAATCAGTGGAGCTCGGCTTTGATAGTCCTATAGCTGTCCGTAGCTGCAGAATTATTGATCGGAGAAGCTGAAGAATACTATCATGTGTAACCACATCATGGCGACTATATCGGCTTTCTCAATAATTGCATATTTGCCTCTTCGGATTACTAAAAGGGTTATTTGAAAGCTAGGGATAAAAATCATGAGTCTTCTGTTCACCGGTTTTCTCGATCACGTATCCTCGCATCTAACATAAATGTCTCGCTCACAACAGAGCTTCAGTATCTGGGGTAGAAAGCCTTATTTTTCTTTCTTTGCAATGGAATCGAAGGAGTCTGGACGTTCCAGTCCCCAGCAAGACCAGCGCCATTCTGCTGCTGCTGCTAATGCTACTGCTCCGCCAAATGGAGGAGTCGCTGGGTGGTCAGCTGTGTTTGCTTCTTTTCTACTCTTCGCCACAACCTATGGTTACTCGTCTGCATATGGCGCCTTCCAGGCGTATTACGAGTCCGACTTATTGCGCTCCAGTTCCCCATCGCGCATCGCTTGGATAGGCACTATCCAAGGTTTTTTCATGGTCTCTACGGGCGTTTTTGCGGGGCCGCTTTTCGATCAGGGATACCTGCACTCCCTGATGACCGTCGGCTGTTTCCTGAACGTAATTGGATTCATGATGCTGAGCTTGTCTACAGAGTATTATCAAGTATTCTTATCGCAGGGCGTTTGTAGTGGCATAGGCTGTGGCCTGATCTACGTGCCCGCCTTGTCACTTGCTTCCACCCTTTTCACAACACGCCGCAGCATTGCCGTCGGTCTGTTGTCATCCGGGGCCACTATTGGTGCGTTGTCCTGATCTACGAATGTTTCGATTCTGATGCAGTCTCGCTCACTTTGCCGATACCCAGGCGGAACCGTCTTCCCGATTCTCTTCATCCGGCTGCAGCCGCGGATCGGCTTCCCCTGGACAGCACGCACCCTGGCTTTTATCCAGGTGGCTTGCTCATGTGTCGCCGTCCCGCTGTTGATAGCCACTACCAATCCAAAACCCAGTCCGCCACGCCGGCTCATCCACTGGCATGCACTGAAGGAGTCGAGTTTCGACGCCTATGCAGTAGTGAACTTCTTATTCTTCGTGTCCTACTTCGTCCCGCTATTCCTCCTGCCTTCCTTTGCCCAGTCCGTGCTGCACACTTCAATGGACCTGAGCGTCTATATAGTGTCGATATTCAACGCGAGCTCCAGTATCAGCCGTGTCGTTTGCCCTCTGCTAGTTTCTCGTTTTGGTCCCAGCAAGGTTCTGTATACCAGCATGGCTGCTTCGGCCGTTATTCTCTTTGGCTGGATGGGCGTTCACACCGTCGCCGGATGTGTTGTCTTTTCTGTCTTCCTCGGCGTTTTCACTGGCAGCTTCCTCGCCGTTACTCCGGTTCTGATGGCTCATCCGGTCATTTCGCCTACTCCATCGGTCATTGGGACCCGTATGGGCATGCAGTGGTTTGCTGTTAGTTTGGGTGCATTGATCGGTGCGCCTATCGGTGGTGCCTTGGAGGGGCATGGCGGAAGCAACGGATTCTTGGGGATGCAATTGTTTAGTGCGTTGGTGATGGCTCTGGCATCGGCAGTCCTGCTAGTACCCATGAGGGCGATTTGGCGATATGATCACGCCCAACGAGAAAGCGGCGTTGTCTAGTTCGTTTTTGATGACTGCAGGGGTCAAATGACAATCAACGGCGGTAGTAAATATTCTCTTCAGGGTTGAATGTATATTGGACTTGTTATTTTTCAGTAGAAATACATATATATTTATATATATATAATAATTTCGAAAAAAAAAAAAAAAAAGGAAAAAGGAAAAAGAAAAAAGAACCTGGTGCGATTCACTGGCAATAGGGGATATCGACTTGATTGCCTCTCGACAAACCCAGTAGTATATATTTTCCGTACCGGAACATTGAAGTGGAAACGGGCAAGAATGACAGGAATGAGTTACCACATTTAATCCACGACTACTATGACACAAGCTGACGACAGCAGGTGTATTCTATATTCGGGCTTCTTGGGACACAGAGCTATCAAAATCTTGGCTTTAACAATACGGACTACTTAGTTGGTATTATTTTTCTGCTTCTGATTGATCGTTTCGACGTAAGGAAGGAAATTTTGCCTCTTGAAGCTAAATACTGTGACAGTATTCAACAAGCATGGCCGGATGGTGTAGTTGGTTATCACGTATCGTTAACACCGATAAGGTCCTGGGATCGAGCCCCAGTCTGGTCATTCTTTTTCTTTCCAAATTTTTTTCCCCTTCCCGTCAAGTAGGACGTGATCGTCCTTGCTGGACCACTCAATCTTTTCGAATTTGAATAAATTCTACGTTCTACCACCACTTTGTGATCGCCACCTCACTTTGTAAAACTAGCCCAGCTATAATCATTTGAAGAGACAAAACATGTGATCCTCATCATCTTCTCTTTACAAACTCCCGGCAGAACCCCCACCATATACCCTTCACCGCCCGCCCACTTACAGAAAAACTGTCATTTTTATTTTTAGTACACCCTTACAAGCCCAGCTGAAATGCCCATCCCCTCATCATTACTCCGCATCTACACCCAAATATTCAAACCTACAAAGACCATAAATATGCCACTCATCTCCAACTTCCAGCTCCCCGCCTCGGCGAATCTCCTCGAGGTCCCCACCAACAAGAAAATATTCCTCGCCTTCGTGTCCTCCGCAGACCCGGCCACCGGACAAGCGTGGTGCCCGGATGTCCGTGCCGCATGGCCTAAAATTGAGGAGGCATTTTCCGGGAACGATGGACCACAGGTTGGTGTTGTTGAGGTTGGACAGAAGCCTGAGTACGTTATGCTCTACTCTATTCTCCACTATTTTCTTG